CTTTCTGTATTCATATGAGCTGAATACCAACTCGATTCGAACTAAATACTTTACAAGAAAAACTATGTAAATCTTGCATTAAATGCGCTTATAAACGCATTTATCAATATAAAATGTACACACAATATCATATATACAAAGTGCAGCAAAGCTTATAAATATTTTTTTTGTAATAAGACATATTAAGTAACCTTCATACAATACCTACCTAAAGATAGGCTAAAAAATAAGGCTATCGCTGTATTCCCGTTGTCCTCCACCAACTCTCCCGGTCCAAGGCATGCTCCTCATCCAAACCTCTCGATTCCATCGCTCTTCTAATTCCTTCATTCCATGATCGTCGAGATCTACCTCTTTTTCTTCTTCCACGGGGCTTCCATCTGTAAAGTTTTTGAGGACAACGTTCGTCAGGTATTCTCAATACGTATCCAAACCATTTTAAACCTCTTCTTTCTATTTTGTCAATGACCGTTTCTGTAGCATTCATGGTATTTCTTATAGATTCGTTGGGCTTCCTTTCCAGCCTTGATGTTCTAACTTCTAACTCACTTTTTCTCAAATAATCCATTTCAACTACCAAAAATCTTCTCTTTAGGTCTGCATTAATTGTTCATACTTCAAAGCCATAACAAAGAACTGATTCAACCATGGTTTGCCATATTCTTTTTTTGTTCTTTTTGAAAATGTTGCAATCCCACCATAAGGAGTTCAGAAGAGTTTCAAAATTTCGGTTTCTCCCAAACCGTTCTTGTCAATTTAATTTTGTGGAAATTTTAAAAAACAAAGTTTTCAGTGTTTTATTGTTACATAAAATGAATTTCCATCAAGTAACGGTCGAATCCATCAAATATTTATTTACTTTACATGAAATAGGCTTTTAGAAAAGTTTGACTTAAAAATTTTAGGCAAGGGGGTGTGGCACCTTTCATTTAGATTTAAGGTTGGTGTCCCTTTTTGAACCAATCCGACCCTGTGTATGAGAATTTTTAGTGCCATTATTTAATACTATTCTCATTTTCAATTATTAAAATTGATTGTAAGAGATCTTTTTATTTTCAGATGAGGCTGCTTGTTCTATTCCTATGCATCGCCTTCCTCCATTTGGTAACAGCAAAATCAGGAACTTGCTACGACAGCAACGAAGAATGTCATTCGACAAACTACCAAACGTACGTTGAATGCATCAGACGGCGCCAGAAAAGATCGATAGATTGTGATTCCGGATGTGACTCCGGTAATTGTATTGACACCTGCCAAGAGTGTGATTGTAGCTCTTGTAGCTATAATAGTTGTACATCATCTTGTGGTAGTTGTTGTAGTTCTTGTTGCAGTAATTATGTCCCCTGTCACACGAATCATTGCTGCCACAAGACATGTCACGCTCAATGTTCGACATCTTCATGCCGAAGTAACTGCAGAAAGAACTGTTTCGATATTGTAAAAGAAAGAACTCAAGTTGTTGTAGAGCCAGGCCAGGAAACTAGTGAAAGTAAAAGTAACACCAATATAAATAACCTAAACAAGCCGAATATAACTACAATCATTCACTTGAATAATATTATTAACACCACCAATCTTGTAGACATCCCCATTATCCTTAACAATACAAATACGCAGAATATAACATTATTTAATGAAGAAACTGGTACATCCACAACAGTTCAATGTTGCACGGTAATTAGCCCAAGGGAATGCGTCACTAGTCCCCAACCTCGATGTTTCCACTATAGGACAAAAGAGTGTGGAAGTTTTTGCACAGCATCTATAGTTCATAAAGAAGAACAAAAGTTGTGTTCAGTTAATTATCCTGGAGCAACACCAACTTGCTCCAAACAAATATATTATATACCCCAACCGCAACCGAAATGTACATATCAATCAGTTTGGCCCTATGTCTCATGTGGTATACAAAAAAAAGAAACGTGTCAAGGTTGCTATTCCCATTACGTAAATGGAGGTACTCCAAATTATTTGACCTGTCCGCCTCAATGTTACGATGATGGAATTGGTGCAATGGGCCCACTGTATCGCCAAGGTCCTGTATATAGACCTGGGTATTCTCATGTACCTTGCTACCAGTGCTTGGGATACCCAAATCCAAACGAATATAACGGATATCCTGTAGCTTATGGTGGCGCCCAACCTTATTTAGGAGAATATCAATCAGTTCCTTACGGTGGTTACCAACAGGCATATGCTGGTTACCAACAGCCATATGGTGGCTACCCTGTTCCTTATGGTGGATATCCAGCTTCACCCTATTTTCCAGTTTCCGCTGAAATCAATGGTACTATACCTATACAGGTAAATGACAATCTAATAGATGAAGGAAGAATTCCAAGGGAGCTTGAAATTGATGAGTAAATTATGAACCACCCTCTGATGCTCAAGCTGAAGTAAAAATAAAAGATGATGATGAAAGTAATTTAGTCCTAGAAGAAGAGAAAAAGGAAATTGTTGAAGAGTCTTAAAGTTTACGTAGATATTAATTTTTTATTAATAATGTTTTATTGTGAAATCAAATGTTGTGATTTTTGACAATATATATTTGCTTCTGGCGTTATAATATTGTAGCTTATTAATTTGTAAAATAAACTTAATTGTAAAGTTTTACTTACTTACTTACTTATTATTTATACCTATATATTATTAAGCCTATGTTTGTCCACTGCTGAACGTAGGCCTCTTGTTAAATTTTCCACCTATTTCTGTCTTGAGCTTCTTGCATCCAGTTTGTGGTGATGCGCTTGATATCATCCGTCCATCTAGTGGGTGGTCGTCCTCTGCTTCGATATGCATCTTGCCTTGGTCGCCATTCCAGAATCTTTTTGGTCCATCTTTCATCCGTTAATCTGGCAACATGTCCGGCCCAAGCCCATTTAGCCCTGGCTATTTTTCAACTGCATCTGTGACTCCTGTTATTCTTCTTATTTCTAGGTTTGGTACTTTATCTCTGATGGTAATACCTATTATTAATCTTTCCATAGCGCATTGTGTAACTCTTATTTTATCTATTGTTCTTTTTGTCAGAATCAGTGTTTCTGCACCATATGTAAGAACCGGTAACACGCACTGGTTAAAAACCTTTCTTTTTAAACAAACTGGGATACTAGACTTGAAAATGTAATTCGATCTACCAAAGGCAGCCCATGTGAGACCTATCCTTCTTCGTATTTCAGTTGTCTGATTATCAGTAATGTTTTTCAGTAATTTTAAAGGTGATTATTGATTTCTATACAAGTTATCGCTTGACACAAAAATAATACCTTCTTTGAAGGATTACCTGGAATTACTGATAAGGCTTCACTAATGATAGTTTAAGTACTTGTTTAATGATAGTTAAGTTTATGCACTTGTACATCAACGCCCTTTAAGTAATGTTCATGAAATCGTTAACATGTGTTCAAATATTTTAAGTTCACACAATTTATAGATTCCTAAAAGAAAGAAAAGGAAGAACTGTTTCATCGCCCAAGAAGAGTGGAAGGAGTAAATCCTTGGAAATTGAAGAAATACATAAAAACATGATAAGACGCATGTCGTTGGCAAAAGAATAGAAGAAAATCCGTTTTAATTAAAAAACATTACATTGTATATTGGAGACATGATTATCTAAGAACTATTAAAAAGTACCGAGAAGAAGGGAAAACAATTTTTTATTTGGACGATACTTGGACTTACCACGAAGAAATGACTGCTGAGGTTTTTTGAAGAATATTTTAAGCAAATATTGGATTTAATTAGAAAAAATTCTGTTATAGTCATGGATAATGCTAGTTACCATTCAGGACTAGCAGAAAAATTGCCAACAACGGCATGGAAAAAAATGAGAGATAATCGAATGGTTGGATAAACACGCAATTGAGTACAAGGAGAATTCGACAAAAAAGGAATTATTACCTATTTTTAAGGCAACATAAAGCAGGTTATAAAAATATATAATTGATGAAACGGCATTAAACCGTGATGTAATTATTTTACGTTTACCCCCCATACCACTGTGATCTGAATCCGATAGAAAATATATGGTCTCAAGTAAAGGGTGAAGTCGGACACAACAAAAAAACTTTTAAATTAGAAGACTTACAACAATTATTAGAACATTCCTTATCAAAAGTAACTGCATAAAATTGGAAAAATGCTGTTAGTCATGTTCACAAGGAAGAAAATAAAATGTGTAATTTGGATAATATGACTGATGCAATGCTGGAACCGGTAATAATTAACATTGGAGTTGAAGATTCCTTAGATTCTGAAGAAAGCAGTGAATCTGAAATGGAATTTGATTAAAATTAATATTTATTTTTTTACAAATCGGCCCTGTTACGGCCACAAATTATTTTATATATAACCAATAAAATAAACATCTTACATTTCTTGCAAATTCATTAGTACCTGTTAATCTCCATCACTCCGACACTGGCAACTTTATTCAGGGATTAGTTACCCTCAAAACTATTGTATTCTATTCTGCTTCAACCTTTATACCTGGTGGTCATACTCAATTTAAAATTGTTTTGGTATATACTTTTTGTAAACTTGTTGACAAAAATCTATTTTTCATTGAGTCACCCGTATCAACAGTTTAGGGATTGCATACATAAGGTGCTATCAATATGATGGAAATGGACTACAGTTTATCAATCAATAAGAACAAAACCTGTGTGGATAGTTTATCAGAGAGAGTTTAAACAAAACCAATAATATACTGATTTGAACCCAGTATACTTCAAAATAGCACATTTTTGTAACAAAACAGAGACTAAAATGAACTTTTTTTAGCTCAATACTTACTTCCAACATTTTACTACAAATAGAGTAAAACACATAAACACATTTTTTTTTAACAAGTAAATTTATGTATTTTTCGAATACCCTAAATAAATATAATAATTTTTTCCCCGAAATATTAAAAGAAGCCAATAAACGACCCCATTATAAAATCATTATATATATATATATATATATAATATTATATATATATATATATAAAAATATGTCTAGTTCTTAATAAATCTCATTTGTCTTTCTATATCTCTGATGTAATTTTCCGGAATGTTTATGCCCCTGAAACAAAAAAACAATAATTTACTCAGGTAAGTTCTATAATGTAAATGACTTTAGAATTTCATATGATAAATTTTATTTTAGGTTTATTTAAGTATGAAAATTTTAAAATTTGGCAACCGGTATTACATTTTAATTTTAGTAAAATTAGTCAATTAGTATTACAATAGAATTACGATATATCAAAATATTACCTTAGATTCTGAATTTTTTTATCTAGATATTCCTTTATTTGTCTATCCTTCACAATATATTCTTGCCTTTGAGCTTTACCATCTTCAAACTTTTCTTGCTGATATTGAATTCTTTCTTTTTCTTTACTGTTGATCTGTCTCAATAAATATTTTCTGTGTTTTTCAGTTTCTTCTTTTCGTTTACGTTGTTTTTCTACATCTTGTTCGTGCAACAGTTTTTGTCTTGTCACTACCTAAAATATGAAAAAATTAAAATTATAATGTGGCATCGTACTTGTTATCACCAAACATAGGCAAATATACAGAACATACTTTGTAAATTTTGCAAATTTAGTATATTTTGCATATTTTTAGATATTTTGAATATTTTGCATATTCTGCATATTTTGCATGTTTTGCTTATTTTACATATATTGCATGTTTTGCATATTTTGCATATGTTGAGAAATCCATTTTCTGAAAGCAAAATATGCATTTGTATCTGAAACAGTCAATAAATTACAAAAATCACAAAGTCCGCTTTAAAAAGTGTTACTTGGGGGGAAACATTTATTTTTTCTTGTGAAGGGAATCATTGGAACACAAATTTTACTAAAAATAAATAATATCATTGGCAAAAATGTTTTATTGGCCCGGATTTAACGGCATGGTTCTTTGAGTGGCAAATGTTTTTATTTTAGTGAAAAATTTTCGGAAGGAACCAATATGGCAAATGCCTCTCAGCTAACCTAAAATATACTGCAATCACATCAGTTGATGTCAAAAAAGTTTTTCTGTTTAAAATATCTATATTCTGATAGAATACATGATTTTTAAGAAAACATTTCAGAAACATTTAATTGTCTACTGTTTTATGAAAAATCTGAACTATAAAAAGTATAATCATTGTAAGTTACGGTTTTACCTATTTAATATATTAAATATACGTTAAAATTATTCATAGTTTGCTTGATTGAATGTAGAATTTTTTCTGTATATTATTAATAAAAATCAATTTTTTTTGCAAATTCTGTCTGCAAAGTCTGGTAATCACAGATGAAATGAAAGCTTTGGATTTGAAGAATCAAATGGTGAGACGACAATGAAAAATTTATAAACCGCAGCAGGGGCATTGGTTAATGCGATACTTTGAATGATAAAAAGTACAAAATAAAAATCAGTTATTCCTATTTTTCCAAATAGAAGAAAGAGAAAGAGATGACTTTTCTTCTTCAACATTGTAATAATATTCTTTCATAATGAAGATGATGCTCAAATAAAATCCCTTCGGAGTAAATGTAGCTTTTTAATACTTGATAGAAGGAGCTAAAAGATATTCCGAAAAACAAAAAAATATATATATTAAACTAACCTTCATAAATGCTTCCTCATCTCTAGCCAGTGCAACAGCTTGAGCTTTTCTAATATCTTCAATTTGCTTCGCTCTTGAATGCTTTAGGTCATCGATGGTTTTTTGCTTTATCGTAGCTTCAATTTTTTCTTTTTCTCGCCATTCCTTTTCTTTCTGTTACAAACAAATTGTAAGATTAATAAATTAATAACTAATGCAGAGAATTCTTTATTTAAAATAAAAAACATTTTGATGAAAAAACATCTTTAGTAATAAATGACGATGTATACATATATAGTCCGTTTTATTCTGTTTGGCCGATTTGATATAAAAAAAAACTATTGGTATAAGTTTTTATGTAGTCCTGACTTACTAGTCGACAAAAGCACTATACTGAAATTCACATTCTGATGGCAGCGTTACAGAGATAGACCTGTGCTTTCTGTATATCATGAAAATAACTACAATGCTGTCAAAGTTTTTAATCGTACGTTATGGGTCGGCTCCTTTAAAAGAATTATTATTTGGGAAATATTTATGAATGTAAAATGGAAAATATTGCACTTTTGTTAATTATTTTTTAATTATATAATTTTTCTGTTGGTATTTTAAAAATAGAAAGTTATATTTCGGAAATCTGGTCTTTTCAGTTTTATACCTTCTCTTTAAAATTATTTGCAGCTCGTGGAAATGAAATAAATATTTATATAATGTCGTTTTAACTTTAATATCCTTTTAATTGACACCAACTTTATCTTCCTGACTTTACAATTATATAATTTTTCTTTTGGTATGTTTAAAAATAGAAAGTTATATTTCGAAAAATCTGTTTAAATCCACCACAGTGTATTGTAGAATGAAAATTAATATTGCTTCAACAAAACTTATATGATGTAATCATGTAACTGTTATTTTTTAAAGGATTGTATCATTACTTGATTAATTAACGAAGAACACTCAATGAGAAGATGGTATGTGACAACAGCGTGAGCTAAATAAATAACGCACTTCAGTAGACCACCGAACAACAAGTTGTTCGGTGAGTAGACAACGGTGTGCTTCATGGACGTATAAACAAAGAGTTTATGTATCTGTGTTTATACGTCCATGGTGTGCTCCCTTTACGAGTGCATGATTTCCCCTCAAAAGAACAGGCGGTGCTTATCTGTGCAGCAAGATTATGGTCTACTTATTTGATTTTTAGCTCTGGTGGTAAAAGGTTGAAAACAAATCATTAACATGCCAAGCGTATATTTTCAAGAAGAAAATATTCAAATGGTGAAATGGTATTATGAGAACCATTCTATTGTAGGAATAATACAGTTATTTATTGCTGCTTTTGAAAATCTCCCAATTCCGACAGAGAAAATAGTACGATCAATTATTAAAAGTTTGTTTATTACAAACAAATAAGTTTGTTTAATTACTCAAGAAACGCGTTGTTCGAGTAGACAAATTGCAAACGAAGTTGACCAAAAGGAGAGAACTTTAAGGAATATGTTGAAACGAAATGGATACAATTGCTATAATGTGCAAACCACCCAAGAACTTTTTCCAGACGATAATTTTAATCGTATGGAATTTTGTGAAACGATGATAGAGAAATCGAATAAGAACAATAACTTTTTTAAAAATGCTTTGTTTTCCGATGAATTTTCATTCACAATCCATAAACGTCATAATCCATCTGTAATCCGCTATTGATCTAGGGAAAATAAACATACACAAAGAAATTAAATCTGTTTACTGAACTTTATACGATAATATAATTGGTCCATTTTTAATTGCGGGAAATCTGAATGGACGTAAGCATCTAGATTTATTACGCAACCAGATTATTCCAGCAGTTCAAAACCTGACGATGTTTGGTTTTAACAGAATGGTTGCCAAGCACATAATGCAATCGAAGTTACACATTATTATGAAAAAACATTCCCTATACTAAAACAATTTTTAATTGAAGGTGATTACTTGGCAACATCGTATTTAACGAAGCCCTTAACGATAACTTTTCAACGAAATCGTATTGAAATTATCAATTTTGCAGAGGCGTACCAAAAAAATTTTTAATTATATATTTAAACACATAAGTAATTACGTAAAAATTAAATCTAAGACCGATTTAATTATTAAATTATTATGTCTCTTTTAACAGGTATCTTATAGTTGTCTAACAAAATAAAATGAAATTTTATTCTTATTAGAGAGTATCTAATACAGAACTTCAAAAAACAGAGAACTTTGGAAAATATTTTTTTTTCATTAGACTAAAAACAATCTGCAATTTTAATTACACATCATTACACATTTTCTCTATTTATAGAATTGCTGTGTGCTGTAAACGTTATATTTGTTTTTTTTTAAACTTAATTTGAATAGTTTGTTGTGTTTATTCGTTTACATAAATATGAAAATATATTATGAAGTTCATATAAATTAAAATGAAGTAAGCTAAACTATTATCATATGAATGCGTTTATATAGCAGTGCATTTGTTTATTTCAGTAAATTCTCGAAATATGAAATGAAGATGGCACTAACTACTAAAGAGTTAATAGCTTTGTTAGAAGAAGACTCAGATTGTGAAAATGCCACTTAATATGGTTTATTTGCCGCCGAGATTAGATTAGAAAGTTTCTGATGTAGAAGACATCTTCTTCTTCTTCCTTCTAGTTTGTAGGCTTTAAAGCCTGTTTCTTCTTCAATATTAGCTTCTAAATTGTTTAAATTGTCGCACCATCTTTTTCTTGGTCTGCCAATATTTCTTCGTTCATTTGGTGACTTATATCGTGCTATTCGTACTATTCTTTCCTCCGCCATTCTACTGATGTGTTTGTTCCACTTTTATTTTCGTTTTGTCACCCATCCATTTATGTCTTCTATATTGCATGCTCTTCTTATGTTTTTGCTTCTCTCCCTCTCCAACAGACTTCTTCTTGATATTCGTCGGAGTATTTTCATCTCTGTTGTTTCTAGCAGTCGTCTCGTTTTAGATGTGTCAGGTCTTGTCTCAACCGTGTATGTTAATATAGGTCTAATTCCTGCTTTATAGACTCTTGTTTTTGTGTCTTGTCTTAGGTGTTTGTTCTTCCAGATTGTGTCATTAAGAGAACCCGCCGCTTTACTTGCTTTTAATCTTTGCTGTCGTACTTCTTCTTCAACATCTCCGTAACTAGTTATATCTATTCCCAGATATCTAACTCTTGCTTCCGGCTTTATTATTTTCCCATCAATTTCGATTTTACACCGTAGTGGGTATTTAAATGTCATACATTTGTATTTTTCCGCTGATATTATCATATTTTATTTCTTAGCTGTTGTATTGAAGATATGTGTTAATCTTTAGAGCTCGTCTTCTGTCTCGGCGATTAATGCGGCGTCGTCTGCATAACATAATATTTGGATTTCTTTGTTCCCAATTCTGTAGCCATGACTTTTACGTACTGCTTGTATTATTTCGTCCATTAATATATTAAAGAGAAGTGGGCTTAACGAGTCACCCTGTCTGACTCCGCTTTGTACTGGTATACACTGTGTTAGTTTTCCGTTTATCTTTGCTTGTATTCGATTATGGAGGTAGATGCTTTCGATGGTTTGTATAATATTGATTGGTATGTTCCTTTTATACAGTAGGTGTAAGACGTCTTCGACTTGGATGCGATCGAAAGCCTTTGTCAGGTCTATAAAACATAGATATGATGGCCTTTTCTGTGATTTGTCTTAGTACAAATACGTCGTCTACGCAGGATCATCCAGATCTGAATCCTTGTTGTTCATCTGATAAAGTTATTAGTTTATTGATTTTGTTGGTTAGGACTTTTGTGGTAAGCTTAAGTGCGGTGTTCAGTAGATTTATACCTCTATAATTGTTGGGGTCTTCTTTATCTCCTTTCTTGACCATTGGTATCATTATGCTGTTTCTCCATGCGTCGGGTATCTTGCAGTGCAATATTAGTTTTTGTATAAGTTTTGTCATCTCTAGGGTTAAACTTTCTCATCCGTATTTTAGAAGCTCGTTGGTTATTTCGTCTGGTCCTAGTGACTTTCTATTTTGAGTGAATTTATGACTATTTCTACTTCGTGAAAACTGATTTATATTTCGTCTCTTAGTTCAGGTACGTTATTGTGTAGATTATTATTTTCCTTTGCTTTAAAACAGTTCAGTCAGGTATCTTTCCCATTCGTTTGCTGGTATATATTGTATTCCTTGAAGAAATTGATGATAATATTATTTGTGAAGAATCACATAGATTTATAATTTTAATTTATAATAGTGAAGAAACCGCTACATCAGTGTCAGTACATGGGCGTCAATCTAAATTTGCTTTACCAGATGAAACCAGATTCGATATTGGCCACATTATAAAAAGAGACGATATTGCAAAAATGTAGGATGTATAAAAGTAATACTATTTATTTATGTAAAAAGTGTAGAATTCATCTACACCCCGAATATTTCGAAAATTTTTACCTTAACAATTTAATTTACGTTTAAGATACAATTTGTTCCTTTATTAAAAATTGTACTGTTTTCCTTAAAAATGAGAAAAAAAATCTTTTTGGTTGTAATTTATTCCTAATTTGTGTTTTTAATCCAATCTAATAAATTAATTGTCAAATTTCTCTTTGTATATTGAGTGGCCGTTAAGGGTTTAATACTATATAAAGAATAAACTGGCCTCAAATTTACTTTAATTACCTCAAAACTATTTTAAAGTTAATAATAAAGTATAGTTAATAAATATATTCCCAATCAATACACTACGCCTATGTACAATATGTACATATGTATAAAATCTGGAAGATATCATATTTCATAAACTTCAATAAACTAAGATATCATATTTCTCTAATTAACATTCTTTCTAAAAACGTAAATATATATAGACCAGCAAAATATTGATAATTTTACCGATGTTCCAAACTATTCTATGAACTTGTCTCACTATACACTCGTGAATCGCACCAATTTATACTGTTACGGGGGCAAATTTATCTTAGATGCGTTACAAATTTACATATTTACATGGGCGAAGCATACACAATAAAAATGACCCCGGTAAGTATTTACTAATGAAATTTTTCATGGTTGCCGCTACCGTTTAGTTCAATTTGTAGATTAGTCACCTTTAATTGAAAATTGTCCGACTATAGACGATTAATTTCTATAGGAGGAACAATTAAAATGGCTCTCTAGATCATCAGATTTAGCACCTTTGGATTTTTATTCCTGGGGAATGCTTAAATCAAAATTATATCGGAATGAATTCGAACGAGCTACCGATTTAGCACAATTGTAAGAAAAATGGTTCAACTCTGTAGTCAGGTATAGCTAAATCAGCTGAATGCAATGAGACTTGCTTTAGTTGTTAGATTCGGATATTGTTATATAATATAAAATTATAAAAGGCCTTTAATTTTAATTCAATTATTTAGAATAACATTTTTAGTTGTTTATTTTTTTTCTTATAAAAAAAATATTTATGTTTTGTTAATGCTAACTTAATTATTTTTTTATTTCCAAGCTACCACAGCTAAAAATCTACAACAATTGCATTTAAAACTCGAATATAAGTGGTGGAGTTTTTTTTAAGGTTTACCGACGAAAAGTTGGCGACGAAATAATTTTATACATAAAACTACACACTCCTCATTTGTGTCTGATAATTACTGAATGCTGGATAGCCGGATGTATCTTGGCGCTTCGCACTGTGAAGGAAGGCGTTACAACTCATCAGAGAAATAATTCGTTGTTGCCACACATTAATTCCTTAAATTAATGCTTATTGTTAACTAATTAAGTAATTGATACAATCAATTAGAAAATAACAATTACATGGCCGGTTTATTTAAGTTTTTTGGGACAATATTAATTTTCATTCTACAATGAACTGTACTGGAGTTAAATATTATTTTACACTTATGTATCGGACTAAAATTTTAGAAGGAAAGATGTAACAGAAATATAGCACCACGGTTTAAAAGTCATATTATACCTACTTCTTTGCCATGGTGACTGCCTCTCACTTCTATTCAAACAATTTTGAAATTGTTTGAATAGAAGTGCAAGTTTTAAATATCGTTTCATGGATTTGAAATTTTAGAAAAAGATTTTTGTAGAGAACTATTTTCTAAGCAGTTACTTACTTCTTCTTGGGCTCTAAGAGCATTCAATTCATCCATTAAAGCTTTAATATCTTGACTTTTAGCTTGATTTTCCGCCATTCTTGCTATTTCTCTTTCTTTGGTTGCTTTATCAAGAGCCTTTTTCTTCTCGATGGCTTCTTCTCGTTGCTGTTTTTTCCTCATAAAGTCAGAAATCTACAAATTTTAACTTATTATAACAACTAAATCGGCAGAATAAATACATTGTAAGCAGTTCTCTTTAATTTTCTACTATATGCAATATTTAGGGAAAGTGATATAAGAACTTGAGGCGATCTACGATATAAGAAGTCAGCTGCTGATGATGTAATCCAAATCATACAAACAAAAATGAATTGCTAAAAAATTTCAAGTAATCGAAAAGAAAACTTGGGAATATAGACCATTGTGACGTTCAATCTCAAATTTGCCCATTAATTTGTAATCTCACAATAATCTTAATTTCCTGAATTTCTACAGTTTCACCATATATAATTGTGTAACATATCGATTAGCAGTTTAATAACAGATTGATCAACTTCCTGCAAACTATAGATTACCTAATATGTATTAAGGAAATGCCTGCAATCATTTCCTCGGTTCAAATTATATTTGCAAGCCTTCAGAAGTCAAAGATTTTTGTTCTATGCAGAGGGCAATACAATTATTTGATGAATCGTAGCATTTTGGTCTGATTAAAAATAAAGCTTTGGGACTAGTTTAGAAGGCAGTCTATTATAAATTTTTACCTCAATAATAACTGTAGTGGAATAATTCAGTAGCTGTCAATAAAATTTTATTTTATCAAAATTTTTTTTTATCATCGTCGATCGAGAAGATACGGACGCAGGGAATTATAAAAAATTCGAAATTATAATTACATTCGAATTTTTTCACGTGGATAAATGACAACCAAAAAAATAAAGAAAAAATAACTAAATTTAAACAAAACATTACATTTGAAAACAAAAATAGTTAATAAAAACAAGAGAAAGTTTTCAAAAAGTAAATGAGTCGGTGCATTAAGATTAAGATTATAACGAACTCTAATCTAAACAGCGTTGAAATCTGACAGTGAATGTTTAAATGATAAACAAAAAAATAAAAATGGTTTGAATTCTTGAGAACGAGATATAAACAAAATAAACAACTAAGAAAGATATTTGCAACAGTTTAAGTGAGACAAAACACGACTAATAGTTTCTGCCCTTCAGGGACGATTTTTAAAAAATAATAATTTAATTTACAAATGCGAGAAAATGAACTGTATTACGTTCTTAACAGTTACAATCTTAAAATCAGACTTTTCTGTACAAAGGTTTAAATCAGACTGAATAATAATCAATTGAAATGAAATACATTACACATTGAAAAATAAAACAATAATTCACAAGTTGCACTTTTGGATTCAGATCAATAATAGTTCTGATGTTAACGCATCGATTTAGGGTATTGGCTTATGGGGTCAACTACTATAACTTGCGTCAAGAAGAAGAATGAATGCAGAAATTCAAAAAAGGTAATATGACTTAAATAAAAGTAATCTACTGGTTGAGCACGTGAATAATAGAGTAAAAAATCAGATAAAGGTAAAGGAAGAACTAGGAAAGAAATGGTTCATCATCATCATCATCACACAGCCAAATTTGTCCACTGTCGAACATAGGCCTCCTCAAGATGTCTCCACTCTTCTCTGTCCTGTGCAGCTGCGATCCAGTTTGTCACTATTCTTTTAATGTCGTCCGTCCATCTGGTAGGTGGTCTTCCACGATTTCGCTTGTCTGCCCTTGGCCGCCATTCTAAAATCTTCTTTGTCCATCTGTTGTCTCTCTGTCTTGCGACGTGTCCTGACCATTTCCACTTCAACTTCGTAATCCGTTTTATGACGTCTTCCACTCCAGTTCTTCGCCGTATCTCATCATTTCGTATTCGGTCTCTCAAAGTTACGCCAAGCATAGATCTTTCCATTTTTCGTTGTGCTACTTGTAACTTTTTTATTGATGCTTTAGTCAATGTCAGTGTTTCAGCTCCATAAGTGAGCACCGGAAGTACGCACTGGTTAAATGCTTTTCTCTTTAGCTTTATTGGGATGTTTTCCTTAAACACGTCTTTTAGCTTGCCATAGGCTGCCCATCCTAAAGCTATTCTTCTAGATAATTCGCATGTTTGGTTGTCTCTACTTATTTGTATTTCGTGGCCCAGATATATGTATTTGTCAACCGTTTCAATATGCCAGTTTTCTAGTTTCAATGGTCCACTAGGTACTAAGTTGGTCATCATTTTAGTTTTCGCAAAGTTTATTTCCAGCCCTACTTTTTGGGAGACTCGTTGTAAATCTTGTAGCATTTCGTTGGCCTCCTTTAGGTCGTCGGTTATTAGAACTATGTCATCTGCAAATCGTAGGTGGTTCAGCCTTTCGCCATCGACACTCAAACCTCTGTTTTCCCATTCTAACATCTGGAATGCATGCTGCATTACGGCATTGAATAGTTTTGGTGACATGTTGTCTCCTTGTCTAACTCCCCTTTTTAGTTTTATTTTTTGAGTAGGGGTGTGGAGGTTTATTGCTGTTGTGGCATTTGCATATATATGTTGAATAATGCTGGTATATCGGTAGTCGATTCTACAATCTCTCAAAGCTCTTAAGATAGCTACCATCTCGATAGTGTCAAAGGCTTTTTTATAGTCAACAAATACTAGAACTAGTGGCCGGTTGTACTCTATAGTTTTTTCAATTAGGGCCTTTAGAAAAGTTAGATGGTCATTTGTACCATACCCAGGGCGGAAACCTGCCTGTTCTCTTGGTTGGCATGTTTCTAGTTTGTTCTCAATTCTGGCAGTGATAATTCGAGCAAATAATTTATACAGGTGACTTAGAAGACTGATTGGCCTATAGTTTTCGAGGTCTGTTTGATCTCCTTTCTTATGCATGAGGAGCGTTATAGAATTATTCCATTCAGCTGGTATTGCTTGGTTTTCTAAGCATATATTGAAGAGCTGCTTGATTGTCCTGATGAGAGCAGAGCCTCCGATTTTTAGCGCATCCGCCACTACTCCATCTTCTCCTGGTGCTTTGTTTTTTTTTTTTCATTTTCTTTAGAGCATGGTAAATTTCAGCCGTTGATATGTCGGGAATATCTTCTGAACCTTGATTCATAATTTTTTGTTCTGTATGTTCTGTCGGGTTTAAGTCCAATTTATTTGTGTATAGTGTTTTATAGAAGTCTTCTACTATCTCTAGCATTTCGTCTCTGTTGGACGTTAGTTTGCCATTCTTTCCCTTAAGTCTGATGATTTCTTGTCTGCTGTTCGTCAATTTCCTTCTTAATATCTTCATGCTCTTGTTGTGCTCGATTGTCTGCGAGATTTTCTCATTTTTATATGCCCTTATGTCCTTTCTAATTGCTTTTGAGACCTCTTTGTTGATTTTATTTATGCTTTGTTGTTCTATACTCTTATCTTTTAGCATTTCTCTTCTTTCTTCCATTTTATGTTTGGTGGTAGCAGTGATTCTCTCCTCTCTCTTGTTACCAGTACAACATTTTCTTTGAGCTTCTGCTATAGTATTAGTAATTACTTTCAGAACAAATTATATCAAATGAATAGCTTCTTTTACAAAAAACAACATAGAAGGTGGACATGGAGAAGCCCGGACGGGAGAACGCAAAATGAAATTGACTATATAATAACAGATAAAAAATTTATAGTTAAAGATGTCACTGTACTCAACAGCTTCACAACAGGAAGTGATCACAGAATGGTTCGCGCTAGAACAGAAATTAACATCGATAAAGAGAGAAATAAACTAATAAGAAAGAAAAAATTGAAAGCATGGTCACAACCAAAAAATGAAACAGAGTTTGCAGATCAAATAAAGGTACGTCTACAAAACAGGCCCCTCACAAATGATACAAATCAGCTAAATAAAGTAATTACTAATAGAAATGGTTAAATGACTGTAAAGATGATTTATAAAGAGCAGCTTATGTAAATTGGAGAATGAGTGCCATAGACCGAAAAAATTTGATACAAATAGAGCAAAAATTCCAAACCATGGATCCCTGGTTACTATTGGTTAGTACTGGTATATCTCTGTACTATATACCTAAATTAGGATTACACATTTGAATATTAATGGTGGCGAAAGGTGGTTTTTTATGGTTATCCGTTGGTAATGGATGTTGAAGGCAGTGTGTTATCGATACTCATTGTGATGTATTAGTTTTAAATTATTTGTATTTCTTGTAGTTTGACTTGATATACGACAGTGACCACGCCTCCTTACTGTAATTAGTATTTAAGGATATTGGATCTTGTATGTTACTTTAGTAATTACAATAAAATTAGTCCGTTTAATGTCAAGTTATTATTTAAAGTAGCAACGTCTAGAGCACATGCGTGTATTAGCAAAATAATTCAGGTCTTACAGTCAATAATTCACATCACACTCACTTTTCAACAAAACTGAACAATGTCCACCGATCCTGACAAATAAGATGAGTTCTACAAATAGAATCTATCTATTTTTAATGGCTTAAAAAAATGAGATGCTACTGTTTAAAAAGAAAATCAAAATGAGCATACATACTCTCATATCGGATATTCTATCTTCCTCTTCTCGAAGAGCTTTATAATATTCAGATTGTTCGTTCGCTCGCCTAAAATCTTCCCGAATTTGAAGCTGAATCTCATGCTTTTCTAGCATCTTTTTTTCTTCTTCCTTCTGCCAAGCTATCAGCGCTTTATTAATCATACGACTTTCTTCTTCGATTTTTTCAGCTTGTATCAATTGATTCATTTCATTTTCCCTTACTTGCTCTTCGACTTCATGTATATACCTAAAATAATAGGAATAGTATGTATAAGAACCGTGCGAGTCATAAAGAACAGACAAAATTTTAACTACAGGTATATTCAGAAGCCAAAAATAATGTTTTACATAACAGGAATGGACCTAAGATTACTCGTTTGTAACTACAGGAATGTTTTTGTTCACAAATCGACTAGTTTTAAAGATATTTACTTGAAGATTGGATCTTATTCTTTTTTAAATACAATAAATAAGAATGTTGTATTAGAGTTAACTTGTTGATAGCACCACGTACGCCTTATTGAACAGAATAAATCTTAGAGATTCAATAAAACTAAAATAAAAATGCAAGACATAAATCGAACGAATTAGCGAATTCAAATCTAAAGCAAAGATTATTCTATGTGATTGCAGTTGTACCTAATCTGATAAGCTAAAAAACAAGCTCTTATTTACCCCAAAGTTAGCTGCTAGTTTGGAAAAAGTTTTTATGACTTTTATATAAAAAGCAGAAAATTTTATTTAAAAAGTCAATAATTTTACTTGAATATAAATTTTAGAGAAACGGCTTCAAGGCAATGGTATAAACTATGCTAATTTGCAAACGTATCGAAGCAAAACATCATAGCTTATGAAAAAAAATATTTGTTAACTTCAATAACAATATATTTCGTATACCTCTCTTTGTTAATCTCTGCCTTTTCTTTACGTTTTTCTTCTGCTTTTACAGCTCTTTGCCTGGTTTGCTCCATTATTTTTTCCAATCGTTCGTTTTCTTCTTGTAATTGTTTTTCAATTAACTATAAACAAAAATTAAAATACATTTAATTTAAGCCATACTTACGTAACTTAGGAAATTGTGATTATGACATTTCTTTTCAGAAGAACAACACTATTTATCTCGTACTATCCCTTCGAGAGCCGCACTGCCCTGTCAGGATAGAGCTCGTCATACTCGGTAGTCGCTAATTATATGAAGTGAACACAACTTACTACAAAATACTACTGTTCAAAAATTGAACCTGTTGCTATATATATATATATATATATATAATATATATATATATATATAATATATATATATATATATATACCTTTTTTTCAGCGATTTGTGCATTTCTTATAGCTCGACATTTAGTTGCTAGAATTATTTTATTAGCTTGCTTTACTTTGTCGTCTTGTTCTATCATTAACTCCTCTGATCTTTTAACTAAATATAAATTCTTTTGTGTAGCTTCTGATTCGACCTAAAAATCAATAAAATATATTCCCTTCATTCAGAAATAACTGTATATAGCCTAGATTTTTCTCGACCAATATAAGTATGCGATTTATATAAAGATTTATATTTTAAAAACAGAATCAACAGAAATCATTATTAAAAAAGTAAAATTACGTATTTTGTTTCTTATAAAAGTTTTTTTGGTGATTGCAATGCAAAAATAGGTGTAAAAGAAGCAGAGCTAGAAACATCGTTCGGAAAATTCGGTTTCCCAGGAAGAAATGACCGAGGAAAAACGCTACCAGGATCTCTACTACAGAATAATTTATTTAATAACATGAATAGGTTTTTTCACAAAAAGATTCACAGAAGTTAAACCTGGGAAAGTACAACCGGTAGAACAAGAAACGAAATCGACTAAATCATAACTAACAGAAAAACAAATAATTAAAGATGTAACAGTACTCAACAAGTTCACCACAAGCAGTGACCAAAGAATGATACGAGCGAAAGTCCAAATTAACATAAAAAGAAAAAGGAACATAGTAAGAACATAAGGATAACCAAACATGCGAAATCCAAAGACGAATTACTTTAGCGTGGGCAGCCTTTGGAAAACTGCGAGACACTCTTAGGGCCAACATACCAATTAGCCTCAAAAGAAAAGTGTTTGATGAATGCGTTATTACCGGTCATGACCTATGGGACGTCAAATGTGCCAATGGTCAGGTAACTTTTTGCAAAGAACATATCAATTACTTTGATAAATACCTACAGTCTGATTCAAAAGAAGAACGACCATATTATTTGCTATCATTTACAGTTAATATAATTTTCTGATACAAAAATATTCTCGATCACTTTCTACAGTTCTACCTTACCTATATGACCAATTTCCATATAATTCACTGTCAAGTACAAATTCACCATTTAATGTATCCACATTATCCACAAAGTACTGTTGACATATGAAGGGTCAGGGGGGAAAACGATGAGAGTCAAAATTATATTAATTTTCAATTGTGGATGGCAACCTATAGCTTAGTTCCAATAGTAAACGACTGTGGCATTGGTTTTGGGAATAATGCCGAGAGTCAAGAGATATTAACGGTTAAATAAAACAAGCAAGAGAGAAAAATGATGAGCTAAGTTATCGCAGAGGACAAAACGATGATAGTCAGTTTACAACTGTTATTCAACAGTATTGTTGGCTCTTGCCATTAGTCACGTTTCGTTCCGTTATGTGTTCACTTGTGTGTTTTGAGGTTAAATTTGCTTTATTATTTGTTACCATTTGAGTATTGTTTACTTGATATTAGTTTGTTTACTCCAAATTATGGAGTTGGTAGGGGAAACAGACCAAGTGCCGAAAAAGAAGCCAAAGTTAGGTAGACTTTACGAAGTGAAGGAGAAACTATTGAAACAAAGTCATTTGGTAGGCCCGAACTGTCGTTGTTCTAGGTTAAAGTGCTTCGATACCATAAAACCATGTTACAGGCAGCTAGTTGTCACTAAATTCAATGAGATAAAGGATTATCACGAACAGAACTTATATTTAGGTGGTCTAATAACAACATCATTGGTGAAACAGCGCAGACCTGAGAAATGAGGATCCAGATTCTCATACATATTCTTATTCCTATAAAATAAGGTATTTAGTAGATAGAAATCTTATAGGGAAAGTCCCTGTTTGCTACAAGGCATTTATGTCGATACATGGTATCACACCTCGAAGAGTGCAAACATTACAGTCAATGCTGACAAATAAAGGTTGCATTGTGAAAGATGGACGAGGTAAACATGGTAATAGGCCACATGAACTTTCAGAGGTAACTGTTTCTAAGGTTCATATATATATATATATATATATATATATATAATATATATATACATACAGTATTGGAAGATTCAAAACGGAACATACGAATTATTAATACAATTATTAAGATCCCCTGACCTGCAATTACCCAGTGTAAATTTCAATATAACGTAGCGATGTCTTATAATTAATTCATTTGTTCGACTGGACTCCTTCTCCAGTCGATATTTTTCGACTGCTGCGCACGTGCGCACCTTAATAATACGACTAATAGTTGATTGTGTCGGTATTGGCCTATCTTCATACGCACAAGTAAATAAATTTATTATATCACGGTACGAGTTGCCCCCATAATACCATTTTAAAATTTGTACTTTTTCTTTGTTTGTATACATGGTTTAAGGTTAGAAACACTACTTTTATTTCAGCTTATGGCGTTATAATGAGAAGCAAAGCAAAGGGCATGTATTTGTTTTGCTCGGCCAGTGATGTTCCTTGGGACTGTTGCCAAATCGATAGATACCTTCGGCAAAAATCTGTAGATTTTGATGTATCATATACATCCTTTTAAATTTTAAATTATCAACAATATTTGGAATAATAAATATATTAAACTATACACTAACCAATTCAAATAATATCTAATGAACACAAAAAAATTGTTATTAATAAAACATTGTTATTATCTGCACAAAAACACAGAAAATCAGTGGACGATAGACAACAGTGTCGACGTACACCTGTCGAATACGCTACTAGAAATCGCCAAGGAGTAGCAATCCAGTCGAACAAATGAATTAATTATAAGACATCGCGACGTTATATTGAAATTTACACTGGTAATTGCAGGTCAGGGGATCTTAATAATTGTATTAATAATTCGTATGTTCCGTTTTGAATCTTCCAATACTGTATATATATATATAATCTCTAAAAGGTCGTCATTCTCATTACAGTCGGCATGACTCAAAAAAGATTTATTTGCCTAAAAAACTTCATAGGCTATACAATGAGCTTTATCCAAATAATAAAGTTTCCTATGATTCATACCGCAATATATTTAACACTAAAAATATAATATAGGTTTCGGCTATCCACGTACTGATACGTACAGTACATGTGATTAGTTCAAGGCTCAAGAACAAGATCTGCAAAAACAAATTGGTGATAGGCCTAATGATGAGGAGATATTGGAAATATTACAGGATGATTTAAAAAATATTAACACTTTACAAAATCTACATTTAAGGAAAGTAGAATCTTTTTACTCAACAAAACGTTCAGTTAGGAAAGCTTCTCAATAATTTGTAGAAATGGAAGGCATTTGCATCGATTTTCAGAAAAACCTTTGTATACCTACCTAACATATGAACAAATGATGTGTACTATATGCGGCAGTTATCGTATTACATTTTCAACATTCTTGTTCTGGCCACACAGCAAAGTTTTTTTATAACATACGTTCAAACTATTGGGCATAAAGGTTCTGACGAAGTTTCTTCAATACTTTATCACTTCATTTTCGACTTCCTTAAGCCAAAGGTGCGTCAGTTGACAGTGTTTTGTGACTCTTGTGCAGGCCAAAACAAAAACGTTACATTGTTCAGACTGGCTTATTTTCTTGTACATGTATGTGGTCAACTGGACAGTTTCAATATGATATTTCCTATACGTGGCCACTCGTACATGGAATGTGACCGCAATATGGGATTGATTAATCAAAAGTCTTATTGCGAGGTGCCTGATGATTGGATGACGGTTATTGCCAATGCAAGGATAAATCCATCCCCATTCACCGTGTTCAAATGTGACCAATCCATTTTTTTATTTTAGATTTCATTTTTCCAAACTTTGAACTTTAAGCAGAAGTGTCCATTTCCTTCACGACCAGTCAGGGAGCTTAAAGTAAATGTTAACAATCCAAAAATGGTAAGTTTTAGAGATACTTTTAATGGATCTTTTGTAAGTAGTCCACTCGTTAATCAAAATAAAAGTAATGCTTTACCGCGAAGATCTAAGTAGGATTAACTGACTGTTGAAATAGAAAAATACCTGGACATTCGACCAAAACCTTTGTATAGTGGAAGAATACCTGTACCCAAACCTAAATACGAGGATTTGCAAGTTTTGAAATAGTTTCTACCTAGGGAATCTCAAGTATACGGGAATTTACCAACAACTGACCTTAACATTGAAAGCAATGATGATCCTGATGAAGTTTTTGGGTAAATTGAGTGACTATTTTTTTGTAGGCCAAATAACTACCATAATTGATTTAATACGACCAACCATCTTATATTGAATTATTTTGCAGAGAATCCGCGTCTTCAAGTTTCCAAACAAACAAACATCAAAGGAATACAAGAAAAACATCCATTAAAACCACGTTTGGAGCAAATTACTAAGACTTTTTACATTCGTATTTTTAAGCTGTTTACATACTTAAAATTCTGTTATCCGTCAGAATTTACAACTATCTGATTTTACAACAATCTACTATTTTTCTCTTGTAATTTTCGTAATTCCCTAATTGTCTCGCTTAAATATTTTTTTCAATGTTTTCTCTTTAAACCGATTTCTGCTTTACATTATGTTCCTCTAGGTATAAAAAAAGAGGAAGAAGGAAGAGGTAGGATATCATGACTCCGCATTCTCCGAGACTGGTAAAAACTTAACGACTACAGAACTTTTTAGAGCAGCAATCAATAAAGTTAAAATAGCCTTTCTGGCCGCCAACATCCGTATTACATCTTGCTCTTTAACGTGAGGTAGTCAATTTTGGCCTTCTACTGGGGTGGTACCATCTATTCCGTACTTTATGTTACTATTTTTATATTCTTAATAATATAATAATAATTATATTATATAAGTCCCTTATTGTCCATACATAAAACGTATAGAAAATCTGTTCAAAATCATATTATCCTTTTTAAAATGACAGCTGCATTTTCCTAATTTAAAAAAATCGAAATTGGCATTTTTGAATGCAGATCGCGATAGAGTAGAACATTTTTTAGTAACTGTCCTATTTAAAACGCATGAATACAAAATATTGTTAACAAATCTAACACCTTGGCCTAGTTTGACTATTGATGTTTGTTTTAAGTTCGCAAGATAAAGTAAAAATAGTCCATTATCAAGACCATTGTTAAATACACAGGGGGAATTCCATATAATGAAAACTAGCAAAACATTTCTTATTCATTTTATTTTTGAGGCGTTACGTCTTTAATTCTTTGTGTTGAATGCTTTTGTTTATAATTTATTTTTCTTCTTATTCTTTTCATATAGGTGTGACTGACAATGTGTCAATGTGCTTCCAGTAATTTGTTGTTCAATTGTTTTCGTAGACTGCCCACTAATCGTCTTCCTATTGGGAGCCGTCTCTCGCCATCTATATTATACTCTATTTGTTGCCATTTGGCTCATATGATCGTTCCATTCTACTCTTCACTTTCTAATGTATCCACATGCATCCACAGAAAAAATGTATTACATTTTTCTGATTTGGAAAATGTTTATTTTTCTTAGATAATCAAAATTCTGTAGAAATTAGTAGATTTAAATTCAAATGACGATTCTAGTAAAAATTGCTACAACCTCTCTGTTTTATGAAGCATAACCAAAGCAGTCAGTCAAAAAGACTGGTGCAATTTGAACCATTGTATTTGGTGCACTAAGTTATCCAATATATATCGGTACATTTTTTGAAGGACTGCGAGTACTCGTCAGAACTGTATTTTATATAATGTGATTTCGGGCATATCAAATTTCAGTTAAAAGTGTCGCATACATACATATTATTACATATTATTACAAGCATTTGTATAAAATATAATATTTAACAATAAAACACTGAAAAGACAACACAAACCACCATTCTCAAGTATTCTACGTCCAGGCCATGGAAAATTTTCCAAAAAAAAAACAACTCTGGAAGGGTTGTCACCCAGTTTCAAGTTTACCGACTTCTTGGAGAAGGTTTTTTAAAGACAGCAACCCTAGCCACAGCAATAAGGAGCAATGCAGTCGCCATCTACAAGAGTATTTTAAAGAGAAGAGTATAACCGTGACAATTTCTCTTATTTGAAATGTTCTTCTATATTCGTCTATATTCATTTTACCTATATGTACTTACATTGCTATTATAATACGATAAGGTTCATTTACAACCAATTGACACATTAATTTATATAGGTTATTTGCAATTTTTTGGGGATGAGTAACCAAATAAAAAAATAATAATAACATAAAATTGTGTGACAAGATTATGGATTCATATATGCAAATGTTGGTATAATTACATTAAAAAGTTAAAAATGATAAAGATATGTACCAATAATCAAATTATAAGTCAAACTTACCGCTTCAAGTTTGGTCCCAGGCAAAGCTTTTTGGGTCTTTTGGGTTTTCATCAACCAGTCTTTTCTAGCTAAGCTTTCTTGCTGAATTTGGTTTCTTTGTTTTTCTGCATCTTGAATCATTTGCATTTTTTCATTAAGTGTCATTACCTACACAAAATAAATTAAACAGCAAAAGAATTATATGATCTTATGAGACCTCTCCTCTTTATTCTAAGTATTAAATAGATACATATTAAATATCTTTACAATAGATATATACAAATTTGTGTCTGACATCGTATAAAAGCCGTTAAACATATTTACCTTCGCCTGTTTTTCAAGTCTCTTAAATTCATTCGTTGTTAAAATCGCTGGTGTTTCAATAGGAGCTCTATCGGGAACTATTAATTCTCTTGTCAAAAAATTATCAATTTTCTGAACAGTTACTTTTGCTTCTGTTGCTTTTGAAGGTTTGTAGTGAATATAAACGCCATGGAGCTTATGGTTGCATTCTTGCAAACTAAAATTTAAATTTTTGTAATCAATAACCTGACAAAAACTGTTATTAGAACCGTTAGAAATTATAGAGTAGGGAATTTTACTCGTCAATTCAGAATTTAATATTCTGAATTATGAAGTTAATGAAAGACACAATGGCTGGTTCTGTTAACAGCCATGCCCTTTTGGGAAATTATTTGGAAATGTATTAAGCAAATAAAATGAAACATGGCAAAAACAATGTTTTTAACGATATTTTGAATAATTATTGGTACTGCCAATACTTATGTATACCTATTTATTATCGTTTTATTATTACCTCAAATTACCATTACAAACAGAATAAATGACATCTACTTACGTATGATCTCCTTTTCGTCTGCTAAGAGAATTTTTTCCAGTAGGAGTCATTTCAATAATATTTTAATATATTTTCACGTATAACTATTGCTTCATTAACCAAACTTAAAAATAAACGTCAACAAATTTCTTGTTTACTATGGAAACCCGTTGCTTTTTGTTACCATGGCGACGTCTTAACCGATATCATCTCCTTCCTCGCAACCAGAAAGAAGTGAGTATTTTCATATTTTTGAAAAATTATCAAATTAAATTAAATCCAACATCGACAAGGCAACAGAACCAAATATAGGAATTGAATTACAGACGTACAGAAAGCTCATTAATGAGTGACTGCAACACCGAAGTCGGAAGAGAAAAAGGACAAGGACAAAAGAACACAGTAGAAAACCTCTATATCGAAATTAGCAGCGGTAGAGAGGATGTTCAATTGTCTAAAATATTCTTGAATACACATGTGAAGCTTGTATACCTACGTGGAAATCTCCAGTTAAGAACATTGGAAATAGCGTAAGGGACCAAATTCGCCATAAATAAAAAGCGTTTTACAAATTCAACAAAATTGCTTTACCCAATTGTGAGTATGATTACGTATATATCACAAATAATTAATTCTATAATGAATGATCTAACACCTTAAAAAGCCCTTCCAAAAAGGATTTAATTTTGATTATGGGTGATCTAAATGCCAAGATTTGTAGGGGACAATCAGGAGAATTAGTTGGAAGGTTTGGATGGGCTTGGAGAAGAAATGGACGAGAAAACCTATTGGGTGAATTTGTAGTAGAATAAGAGTGTGTAGAAGACTTGTTTCAGACAAGGATTTGGCACAAGAGAAGCACTTTATAGCTTAACTGTCCTACTTCAGAAATGCAAAAAGATGTCTTCCTATGCTTTATAGATTACCAGAAGGCGTTCGATTGTGTTAATAATTTAGAATAAGTAAGATTGCTTTTGGAACGTTCGATAGATGAGAATGACCTTAAAATAATAAAGAACCTTTATATGAATCAAGTGGCATCTGTGAGAGTAGGACTGGAATCTACATCATATTTCTTAATCGAAAAAGGTGTACGATAGGGTTGTGTTCTGTCACCCCTCCTTTTTAATCTTTACTCTGAAACGATTTTTGGTAGAGCCTTAAGTGACACTGAAAATAGAATCAAAAGTCAACGCACAGACTATTAGTAGGTAATCTTCGCTATGCTGAACGACTAATAGATAGAATAAACACTGAAGGAGAACGACTGGGCTTGAAGATTAATATAGACAAGACGAAGGTAATGGTGGTTAGTTGGAATACGAAATATGCAATTAAATATAAGAGTAAACAATAATGACATCCAAAAAGTTCAGATATCTCGGTAGTTGGATAACTGAAGAGATCCAGACATAGAGATACGTAGCAGGATTGAGCAAGCCAGAACAGCATTTACTAATATAAGAACCTTGCTAAGCAATAGCAGCCTTAACTTAACGCTTCAATATCGATTTGTAAAATGTTACATTTACTCCATACTCCTATATGGTTAGAAACCTGGACCATAAAAGCCAATGTGATTAACCGATTGGAGGCCTTTGAAATTGGTATTGAGAAAACTACTTAAAATTCCCTGGACAGATCACACAACAAATTTCGAAGTATTAAATCGAATGGGCAGAGAACGAGAATTGTTGCCAGTAATAAGAAGAAAAAAAACTGCTTATCTGGGTCATATATTTCGAAATTCTAGGTAGCAGTTCTTAAACCTTATTATGGAAAACGGGGCATCAGAAGAAAGAAATACTCATGGCTTAAAACATAATAGATTGGACAAACCTCGATGCCCATGCACTCTTTAGAGCCACACAAGATCGAGAGGAGTGTGCCAGAATTGTCGCCAACATCCACTAATTGGATAGGGCACCATAAGAAGAAGAAGAGTGTGTAGTTCACTAACACTTGCTTCAAACTCCCATAATAGTAAATTATACACATGGAAATTACCTCAATAGCCCAGGCCGCATAATGAGAAAGAAAAATGATTAATCAAATATTCCGTAACAGCATAACATCAGTCAAGATATACCCAGGAGCCGATATCAAGTCAGACCAGAACTCAGATAACAGATCGCAACCCACTGATTGGAAAAATAATGCTCAGGCTAAAGAAGATTCTACTGTCAACCCAAAATACGACATCAGGCTACTAAAAGACAAAAAATATAAAACTGTATATTCATAACAAATTGAATAGGGTTATTCAAACGAATGTAACGCTTTGAGAAATGTAGCTTGAAAAGTTGAATAGAGTTTTCTCCTCAAACTTCAAACATGAAAAAAAATCGTGGATGACAAATGAGATTTTAGATATAATGCAGGAAAGGCGAAAATGCAAACATCAGGACACAAAATTATACAAAAGTGCCAACATCAAAGTGGATGACCAGTTGACGGAGGCAATCTCCATAGATAAAGGAATGAGACAAGGATGAATTCTATTCGCGGTGTTATTTAGCATGTATTCTGCATACGCGTTTGACATAAATATATTCAAGTTAGCAGTCATAGAACTACATGAAGACGTTAGTCAAACGGAATGCGTCTAAACAACATTAGACATGCCTTCGACGCAATATAGCATTATTACTGTCTAGCGAATACCACCGTGTCATTCGCATATCTAATGTTATTGATACATTCTCCATTAATTCCAATTCCGACTTCAGCATCCTCTATTGCTTCTTGAAAGATTTCCTCATAGTATGTGTTGAACAGCAGGGGTGATAGTATACATCCCTGTCAAAGCCCCACATTTAATTTTGATATCATCGGATTCTCCTGCCTCCATATGGATAGTATAATGTTTGATTTCAGTAGATATTGCTAATAATTCTTAGATCGCACGGGTTTACTCCAATATTAAATATCTCCATTAGCTTGTCGTGCTTCACTGTATCGAAAACTTTATGGTAATCAATGAAGCATGCATAAATATCGCAATTCACATCTCTACACTCGTTTGAAATAGCACTTGTATGCTAAAGAGAGCCTCTCTCGTACACATTGCGTTCTGAAAACCAAACTGCACGACTGATTTCTTATTGGCATAGTCTTATATATCATTTGATGTATGATTTTTAGAAATAACTTTAAAATGCAGCTCATAAGCTGGTCCGGAAATGATTGTGTGACACGGATTTTGTTTTCTTTGGTAGATTTATAAACGTTGACTTCAGCCATGAACTTGGTATTACTCCGTTTAAATATGTCATTAAATATTTTTGTTAGCCGTTAAGTTACCGTCGGTGTTAAATAGCTTAATGAGTTTAGCATATGCATATGCATTGGAAAAACTACAGGGAAAACAAAGTATTGGAAGAAGACGCATCTCCTGGCTCCACAATCTGAGAAAGTGGCAGATGTAATTGCAGTTCCATCGACTTGTTCAGAGCTGCAATCTCAAAAGTGAAAATAGCTGTGATGATTACCAATCTCCTTAGAGGAGACGGTTCCTAAAGAAGAAGAATATGCTTGTCAGATCCAGAAGCTTTGCCATCTTTTAGTTTATGATATTTCTTTTTCCATTTCATCTGATGCGATTGGTAAGTGGTCATTACATATCGTCGGTGCAATGCCACACCCACGAATGTGCAAAATTTTCATTTTTCACCTAAGTACACCACTAATAATGTCCCATTCATTCCTACACTCCGCCGCAACCACCTATGTAATTGAAGACTAGTAGATGGTGGGAATGAAATGCGCACTTTCACGAAAGTCAGTCTGTATTGATCATTTGCAATGCGAGCATCGCGTATGTACCACTTCGTGTTTGTGGCAGAGTAGTGATTAAGTTAAACTACGACGTGCGTATCGCGAAAGTGACACCTACGTGTTTGTGGCGGTGTGGATTTTGGATTTAGTTTACATTCGTTGTGTTGTTTCTACTAGACATTTCTCAGTTTAGTGTTGTGTAAAAATGAACGCCCACACGGCTAAAATATTTGAAAACTTGAGACAGTCTCGTCTGGATTCAGCAAAAGAAAATGAACAGAAGGTAGGTAGATGTTAACATGCCCTTATGGAAATAACATTTTTGTGATTGGCTGGTAGAAATAAGAATTTCGAAGGCAAGATTGCAGAATAACGTATCATTAAAAAAAATTGCAGTTATAGCAAAAGCTAAATTTTTTCGAGAGCAATCGCATAAAAAAATAGTTTTTACAAGTTTCGCTTGCAAAAGAAATGTAATACGGAAAAAAAATAATTTCTTATTTTTTTTTGCAAAATTTTCCAAAAAAATATAGGAGGTACTGCACTTTAGCCGTCCATTTGGCAACTTGTTTTACTATAAAGTTTGCTCTTTCTTTAGTATTTGAAAGGCCAGAGTGATTTGACTAATGTAGGTTTTTTTCTACTAGATACCAAAGAAAATTAATGAAGAATGCGATACTAAACAAAAAAATGGATCCGGAACATCAGACGTTTCTGCTCCTATAACCAAATAATGAAAGAATACTGTGTCCATCGGTTTCAGAGAACCACTAGAAGGTACTGCCATTTTATATCATACATTTTTACATTACTGATAAGTACAACAAAGAATTTGTTTTAGCGCAATCTTTAGTAGAGATTGTTGGTAGCTCCAGTAGGGGACCGACCTTCGATTGCGAACTGGCTTCAAACAAGAGAAGTTTTTCTGAGTCTTTATCAGATAACTATAATCCCGAAGAGGACTCAACTTCTAGCAGTTCTTCCTGCTCTTCTTGTTCGAGCTCTAGCGATTCAACATCAGAGTCAGAGGATCAAAATGAAATAACGGACAATAAATTGAGTAAGTTATTTAGAAAGGTGTGACGCTAACTTACAATTATTCTAAACCTATTTTTCTTTCTTTTAAGGTGGGGGCCCTAAGAGGAAGAAGAAAAATATAAACGCTTGGAAGAAAAACGTAAGGAAACAAAATAGATTAAAAGGAGAGTCTTATGTTTGATCTAGAAATAAAGAGAGACCAGCACGTCCCATGTTGCCATCCCCGTGTTTTAGTAAAGCAAACCACAAATGTGATACTTTAATCAACGAGGAACACCGACGCAAAATTTATAATGAATTCCGCCAAATGATTTCGGTGGATGATCAACGAGTTTTCTTAAATAGTCATATTGATAAACAAAAGAAAAAGAGAATCACTAGAAACATTGAAAATTCAAGAAGAACGTATACCATGAATTACTCGTTTACTGTCAATGGGGAAAAAAGGCAAGTATGCCGGGCCTTTTTTATGGTTACACTGAATGTAACAGATGCATTTATGCGCGGATCTGTGGCAAAGCTTTCTTCTAGCGGCATAGTTGAAAAAGAAAATCGCGGAAAACATGTCCCACATAATAAACTGAAAGATGATGATGAACTGCTGATTCGTGAGCACATTCTATCATTTCCAGCGGTGGAGTCGCATTACTGTAGCGCCTCTAGTACCAAAAGGTATTTGGATTCTGCACTAAACGTCTCTATTATGCACAAATTGTATAAATTAAAGTGCTCAGAATTAAATGTCCATCCAGTTTCTTTCGAAAAATATCGACGAGTGTTAAGAACTTATAACTTGGGGTTCCATAAACCCAAAAAAGACCACTGTAAAAAGTGCTTAAAATATACGAATTTGACAGAGGAGGAAAAAATAACACACGAACAGGCTCATCACGAACACATGCTAAGGAAGCAATTAGCTAGTGAGGCTAGAGACAAAGACAAAGAAATTTCAAAGAATAATCCAGAGGTACTATCGTTTAACTTTGACCTCCAAGCAGTGCTTACGACTCCAAAAGGTCCAACAGGACAAATATTTTACCTACGAAAATTGGCTGTTTACAACCTGACTCTCTACAACTTAGGAAATCAGGATGGAATCTGCTACCTTTGGGACGAAACCCAAGGAAAAAGGGGGTCAAACGAGATATCCTCGTGTATTTAAAATTACATTATCAATCAACCAACCATTACTGAGGTTCGAATGATGACGGACGGGTGTGGCGGGCAACAAATAAATTCACATTTTGCTGCTATGTGCTTGAAACTTCTTACGGATCATACTAATTTAAAAACGATTGATCACAAGTTTTTTGAAACAGGACATACCGAGATGGAGTGTGATTCACTCCACTCGAAAATCGAACAAAAATCAAAATATCTCCCTGTTTATTCACCAGAAGGTTGGGCTCAGATAATAAGAAATGCTCGAACACATCCACGTCCATTTAAAGTCAGATTCATAATGTTTGATGACGTCTTGATTTCAAGTCCTTTGGAATACAGAACTATACATTGAACCAAATTCCTTGGCAACAAGTTTGCTGGTTACGATACATTAAAACCGATTCCATGGTGACAATGTCCTATAAAAAAAATTTTGGAGATGAATTTCAACAAGTAAACTACATGAAAAGTCGTGGTCGACCCAAAAACGTTGACTTGAAGAAAGCTTATGACAAGCAGTTGCCAATCGCGATTGCTAAATATAAAGATCTTCAGCAAATGTGTAATGATTTAACAATTCCAAAGAACTATCATAACTTTTATAATTCTATAAATGCCGAAAAAATATAAAGGACAATTTACCGGAGCCAAATGAAAGCGAGGATTCAGACGAGAATTAAATTATTCTAAAATATGAAGTCTTTTACTAAGTATGTTATTACTTCTATCTTTTTTGTTGTTATTATTTTTTATTATTAGAAGGTACTGTTTGTTCCACTTTTACCATAATAAAGTTTGATATAATTTCACGTATATGCATTTTATTACAAAAACTACAATGCCGCAATCACGAATGTAACTTTTTCCGAAAAATAATGGATATTTTCGAAAATCTCTGATAATATTTCTAAAATATTACCATAACATATGATATTAAAAGTACAAAAAAAATGTCGCATTAAATCCTGAATTTTGTCAACTAATTGAAAGTTTAAAAGTTGAATATCTCCTAACGCTCATTTTGCACATTCGTGGGGGTGGCATTGCACCGACGATATGTAGGACGGAAGTTGTTCGGACCTATTATCATCAAACAGTTCTTGTATGTATTTGGTCCATATGCATATTTCTTAATTTTTATCTGTGATGATGATCCCCTGTTGATAGTGCTGTTTGCTAGCTGTGTTGGTTTTTGAAGACCAGCTGCTTGTTTTACCTTTTTATGCATACTAAATGTATCGTGTGTTTGTTCCAAAAACTCTATTTCTTTACACTGTGTTTTTAACAAATGTTCTTTGGCTTTTCGTACTTCGGTTATTATTTGTCTCTGATCTTGTTAAAGGTTTCACATATATTTTGGAGTGATTCTTCTCGATTATATGTTTGCTAAATGTTACTCTTTTCTGAAAGAATCTCTGCGACTGTCTCTTTTGTTTTCTGATCTTTTAATCTCATGTCACATTTTTTGTTACTATTATTTTTTGTAATACTTTTAAATATAAACCTAAATTTACCATTAACAGGAACATGATCTGCTGATATGTCAGCACCGGGATAATTTTTAACTGATAGGCAGCCATTACGGAATCTCTTCTTTACCGTTATGTAATCAATTTCATTCCGTATTATATTTTCTGGTTGATCATGCGGAGAGACTACTGTCAAAGTATTTTTTCGTCTTTTTTTAACATCTTTTTCGTGAACTAGTATTTTATTATTTTCATCTCGGATAAATCTAGTCTGATTAACGTATTTTGCTCTTTTAATCTATGTTTGGCTATTTTACATAACTTTGTTTCTTCTTTCCTGGTCTTAAAGTTCGTGTAACTTTTTCACTAAGGGTTTTCAATTCGCGCAAGCGCACTGACATGCCTTAAGGACCCTTTACGTAGCCGCGACCGATGGCTTTACCTCTCTTCGTTTTGAAGAGCATTTACGTGACCGTATAGTTTTGAAGATCTGTGTTCAACCTATCTTCTTGCCTATTTTACTTTTTTTGTACTGAGATATCCATATTTCCTTCTAATTTCTGTTGTGCATTAGGCTTTGAGGCCTTCAGTAACTATCAGATAAGATGGCCTTATTATACATATCCATTTACCTGACATTTTTCAATTTCTTACAGTTTATACAATTTCATCTATACAATCTAAGGCTTAATTAAATATGTTGTCAGAGTATAGATTAAACAACATGGGGCAATGGGGACAATATACATCCCTATCTAACCCCTTTACTTATTTTCATCTCATCTGTCTCCTACTAGGTGTACTACATTTCATAAATAAACAACAATTTATTGCTACTTTAAAAATATTTATATTCTAAAATAATATGAAATTCGATACAAAAAATATTTATAATAAAAGATATTTGATCTCAAAATAAAAAGACTTTTTTTAAAATACAATTATATCACTTAACCTTAATACATTTTCATTACAAAAACTAATACAGTACAGTTCATACAGCAAGCTTTTTAATTTTAAATAATATATGTGATCCTTCTGGCAGATTTTTCTTAATTTAATAATGTCGGCGTCATTTTCCAAATCACTTAAATACTGATGAACATCTTGCTCGTCGCTTAATTCGATCAGATGGGTAGCTTTCTTTATCAGAGTTTGCTCTGATATAAAATGGAACATATCAATGTACTCTTGAATATAAAGATGGGTACTTTCATCTGGAAAATTAAATATAAGCATTAATTTTAATTACAACCAGTTAATATTTCGACATCTCTTTATACAGGGTTGGAACTCTAAAACATGGATATACACAGTGGTCAACTTTTGTAACATTTTCGGTATATATGTTATTAGAGGAGATACAAAAAAATTAGTTAAAAATATAAAAGATCTTTCATAACACTGTACTGCATGAAAGATGTATTTTCAAAATTAAACACCCTGTATTTTATTTTAAATTTAACATCTGCTTCACTTCCTTTTTACAAGAATACAAATGATTTGTATTACACAGAGTATTCAAAAAGTTATAACGAAACTTTCATGAAAATCATAACAAATTCAAGACCCTGTATAATTGAAAAGGTGTATAAAAGCAATAGTATGAATATTGATTATGATCTACAAATGATAAATGTTTGATACTTACAATCTTGGGACCATATATACCGCAACAAAGATTTCTCAGCCTTATTTAAGTCAGAAACATCTAACATTGACGATAATATCTTATTTAGCATGTCATATTGTTTAGTGTTTATCATCGAATATGCTAACTTCACCAGTTTATCCCTATGATAAGTACTTTTCACATCGTACACACTCTCAGTTAAAGAAGTATTTCCACTGCCTAGTAGCTTTTTTATTAATGTTTCGTTGTGTTCAAAAAAATACTTTTTGGGTACTTCCAAATGGTATTTTTTATCCAGGCTTTCTAGATTTCTTTTATTTATATTATCTGTAATGAAAAAAGGTAAAAATTTAATGAACTAAAGAAAATGTTACTATTATTGGGTGTAAACAGACTTCCCACGTTACTTTTCTCAGAAACTGGTTATAAAAAATATTTTACATTGGGATTCCAAATTTAAAAATATATTTTTAATTTCTGCAACCTGCTCTTAACTACTATGTGAATTATTAAGACAGTAAAATTTAATAATAAAATCAATAGAAAGTAAAATTTAATAATAAAATCAATAGAAAAATAATGAGAGAGTTCACAGTTTTTAAAATGCCCACGAATGCCTTTAATTGATCTAATTGACATGTTTCCAAGATTTTAACTCACTACTTCTAAAGCTTTACTAAAGTTCTTCTAAATCCAATTATTTCTTGTCCACATAAAGTGTACATTCCCTCTGTATAAATCCCTAGGAGTCAATTTCGACTAACTAGGGTCAATGACAATGAAAAAAGAAATTGAGATTCTACATGATGTGAATGGGAGCTCACTTGAAAGAACCATTATAATTCATTAAGTGGCATTTGTAAGTATATCTTACTGAATGGTTTACAATAAAAGTCCTGTGTGGGGTACCCCAATACTCTCACCTCTTCTATTAAGTATTTTTGTTAATTAAATTGATGATTGTTTACAATATAGTAAGTTTTTGTGTTCAGCTTAATGCTAAAAAGTGTAATTTAAAAATTTGGTAGGATAATGGATGATAATATAGAATTAACAATATAATTATATATAATGGATAGAATTAACAATATAATATTATTATTGATTGCATTTGTTTTAGGACTATAGTAAGATAAACTTACCAATTGCTTTTAATTTTTTCTCTTTCAATTTTACTTTTTTCAAATAATATTGCTGAACACTGTTCTCAAAGATATTACTTGTATATGCTTTCAAATCAGAAGCAATATTATTCTTAAGATCTGCATCTTTTATTGATATAAAATTTTTATTTAACTGTTTCAAAGCACATGTCATATAATCATCATAATTATGTTGTTCAGGAATGACACACAAATTATTAATGAATCCCTAAAAAATGTATTGTTAATAATGTTAAACGCCTCAACTATGGCTGCTTTATGTATTTGATTAATTATGAAAAGGGTGACTATTTACCTGTAATAAACAAATAAAAAATATTACAATTATGCATATTTTTAATATATGATTAATAGGAGTTTTACTTCAAAAGAATACTACATATTCTGCCTGATATATGCTTCTATATGTGACTATATTCTTTGTTAAAAGTATTTTATATTATATAAAAAAGTCTAATCTCGACTCCAGGTCATCCATAAACAAAAGATTGTAATATAATCTCAATATATGTATGCATTAGGTATGCCAATTGTAATTTTATATTTGGATATCGATTAATCTTCAATAAATAATTTAACAGTTTTATATCATCGACTAAGCAGGATAACTATAGGACAAAACAACTCATTAAATACTTATATGTTAAAATGGGAAAGGCAGAAAACAAAATAATATATTTGTATTGAATGGACAGAGAAATGAAATGAAAAACACTGGTTCAACATGAATACAGGTTTAATCATAGTAAAAACAAAAAGCTGCCATGAATTAATTATTAATAATTACCAGAATTTGTTGTCTTTTAGACCTACTATCACATGAATTTCGTTTATAGGATTGGTAAATTATTTCAGTGAGATTCTTTGCAATTATCTTCGCTGCTTCAGGTTGATGTTTTGAGTAACTAACATTACCATTAAAGCCTTCAGGTTTTTCATTTTTCAGTAATATTTGAAAAACTCCAGTTTCTGTCATTTTTCAAAAATGTGCACCTAACCATAGAATAACAGTTAACAGTTGTATTTTGTGACTTGACACTTGACAGACAAATGACTCCTAGTTGTTGAACAAGGTTAGTAGAAGACAGGTTGCAAGATAACTATGACATTCACAAAATAAAAACATCACCGTGACGTCAACCAAGAAATCAATTCTTGATATATTATAAGTTGAACCCAAAATTCAAGTGTAAGATACAGTTAATGTGGTTGCGTTAAGTACCTACTTACTGGTTTTTATTTCATGAGTTTGAAGAAAAAGCAAAACATATTTTTAAAAACTTTTTAACTTATAATCAACTACAAGTAATATTAAAAAGAAAACAAAGGTTCAATAGTCCCAAAAATAATTATCAATGGATTTTAGCCCACAAATCACCATATTTGTCTGTGTTTTAGCCTTTAGCCTAAAGGTATTTTAATTAAATTTGTCTATGCACATAAGATAAAATGTCACTGAACAGCACTGGTTCCGACTAAAACATGGCTGATTCCGTCTGCGCGAACGAGATGCGCTTTTTTTAAGCAGAATGGGCATTCTGGTTATGGCACTGTTTAACAATTTTTTTTTTGTTTAAGTAGACCTTTTTTATTTTTATTAAAAAAAACTAATAACGGAACATGAATAAACAACTGTCACTTGATATTTTCTTCTTTGCGATTCTCTCCATAGAACACAAAAATATTCTTTCATAGATATATTAACTTTCTTGAGAGTTTGGATTTCTGTTAAACGCCATTTTAATGTCACTGTCAAAGTTTCTCTTTGCAATTTTATTTACCGATCGTACAGATTGTATATTTATTTAAAAAATTTAAATTTAAAATTGTATATTTAGGTTTTCAGATAAAAACTTAAATAGAGAGAGATAATTAGAAATATCCAAAAAACTTAATATCCAAATAATGTCTGAAGATATAATTACCAAGACAGAAGAACCAGAAATCCAGTACATTCTAAATAATACAGAATTTGTATTTGATTCTTCAGATTTAAGTGAAGAAATTAATGACGTGAGTTATTCAAAACATGCTAATATAATTTAAAATTGATAAAAAATGTAAAAATCAATATATCTTTATCGAAAATATTTTTTATTTGCTTTAATTTTTATTTTCAAACATATTAAAGTATATTAAACTTTCACATGAATTAATGGTTAGTATTTGCTTAAATGTTTTTCAGTAGTTTAAATAGAACGTTTGTAAGTTCCAAAATTGTATTCTGTTAATGTTTTTTAAGCAGGTTTTTATAATTCAGCTCATACATAATTCATATTTTGTTTTGTAATTAGGTGTTAAAGTTTATTTAGCTATTTATATGGACGTTCCGACGCTATATTATTTATTATAAACCCCTCGATATACTAGTCAATTACTTTAACTTCCATTTTCAACAATGAAGTAGGTATCTATAAACATATGCTGAATTATATTACCTCTGATTAATCAAAGAACATTTTCTAATTTCTCTGATCAGATTTTTATGAAATATAACCCTAATAACACTCCTTGAGGTATTTAAATGTGCTATATCAACGAGCACTATATATAATAAGACTGAATTAAGGACCAATGAAGAAATTTTAAAATGAATAGCAATTGAAATCAGTTGCATTTTATCTGTTGCTTTCAAAACCTGTCCAAATGTACTATATACCTCTGTATCTATTCTATATTTAAGTAGGATACACTAACACTGCATGAACAAAAAATTAGCGTGTTTTGTAATGATTTATAGCAAATATATGTAACAGTATGAGGGGGTATTTCTTACACTCTTGCAGTAAATCCGAAAAGTGAAGTTATAATATAGATATCAACAAATATTTCTAAACATTACACAACTAATATCTACTAATTATTCAGCTGTTATTCCCCAAAAAAAAAGCACTTTCAAAACAAATTGATACATTGAAGACAGTAAAAAGTATGATTTCAAGATTCAAGCAACAAAGAATGGTTTAAAATTTGATATATTCAAGTCTGGATATACACAAAAATAGCTTAAGTTGGCTGTAGTGCACTCTAATCTAGATTTTTGTAGAAATGTAGCCAGTTTTTTGATATGCTCTAGTTGTAAAAATCAGGCAAATGTTTAGAACCAAAAATCGAATATGCAGATCCCCATTGTTGAAGCTTTTGGAAATTTTTTATCTCCTCTATGTGTGTGAAATTGTAAAAAAGATTACAGTGCATAAAAACTAACAGTTATAAAAAAAATTGCGTATTGGAAAATGAAAAACTCAAGTTTTTAAAAGTTTGGTATCAAAAATTTGAAGTTACGGTAGGCTCGCGATTATCCGAGTCTAGGTTATCCGAGCCCCTCGGTTAACTGAGGCAAAATTTTGCCTCAGTTTTATTTTTATGGTCTTACTTGTTGAGTTACAATATCAAGTAATAAAAAAGGGTCAATGGTCACAAGGTATATCAGCAGTTGTCATATATGCAATCCATTGAAAATTGTGGATTATTGATAAGAAGAGAATTGTGTGTAAGGTATGCTTTAGGTCAAGCTGATGTTGAGTCAGTATTCTCAGAAATTGGTCGCTGCCTTATTTCTAGAAATTTCTGTGTCATGTTTTGTCTACAACTTCCTGTTCCTTTCTATGTCAATTAGTGTGATTTGAACCACCGATTTGTTTGCTGTCGTTTAGATCGTCAAATTATTTGTTTGTTGTTGTTCAGATCCTCAAATTAAGTTACTGTACAGTAAAATGTTTCCTTTTATGTACTGTTTCATGTATTTAGTTGAGTTTATTAGTTTCAGTTTTATAATTAATTCATAAGTTGATTTTTGTGAGTGTAAGAGAGTATCTTTTTGTGAGTGGAAAACGGAAGAGAGTAGTTGTATCTTTGGAAACTAAAGTGAATGCAATTAAGAAGTTGGACAAGGGTGAATCAATAAAGCAGATTGCTTCAGATTTATCTGAAATTAAACAGTGGGTCAACCGAATTGTGAGTGGTGGTAGTGGATTGGCCCGAAATAGCCATGGAAAATACAGTTACTTTGTAGTAATAGGTTCCATCGTTCCGATGACAGACAGGTAATAGGTTCCGGTAACCTATTACTTATGTCGCCTATTACATAAGCTGCAAGCAGCTCCATTCTGCTTGGCTTGCTATAGTTTCTTGTAGTAGAAATTGAAGAGAAGTGGTATTCCCAGCTATTTAAGTGGTAAAACAAAAAGCTCATCATAAATTCAGTGGACAATGACCATCCTATTCTGTTAACGATTGAGCGAGATTCCCATCGTTCGATGTTGTCACGTTAACATATCGAATGCCGATTTGAATACCAATGTTATAGTTACACTCACAAGTTACACCGTGACAAAAGTAATAGGTAGTTTGCTGTACCCTATTATTGAGAAAAGGAATACTTATTGGTAATAGTGTTATTTATCCGAATACCTTATATAACGCCCATCTTTAGCCTGAAAGACTAAGAAGAAAGGGGACCATGAACAAACTTCTGAGGGGTTGTTCTTGTGATTTTTTCAAATAAGAGGATTGGGCAGCCTGATAAGCGGTCCAATACTCCAAGCAAATGCTATTGAATTCCAGAAGAAGTTTATGGATGGAGGAGAAAACTTTTGTGCTAGTGAAGGATGGATTGACTTAGGGTGATGGATAAGACAATATCCTTAAAGATGGAGTAACTTCAGACCAAATATTTAACTGTGATGAGACAGGACTTAACTTTAAAATGCTTCCATCGAAAACGTTAGCTGCTAAAAATGAAGGAACTGCACCAGGTTACAAAACAAGCAAAGAGAGAGTCACAATCACGATTTGCAACAATGCATCTGGTTCATTAAAATTAAAACCTCTTTTAATTGGAAAATCCAGAAATCCAACGGCATTCAAAAATGCCCAGATAAATTGCTTACCTACAATCTAGCAACCAACGCAATGCATGGATGGACTGTAACATTTTTAAGGACTGGTTTTTTAATGACTTCGTGCCAGTCATTGATGCCTACCTAATAAATAAAAATCTGTCCCGAAAAGCTTTGTTGTTGTTAGACAACGCACGATCTCACCCAGATGCGAGTGAATTGATTAGTGGTGACATACGAGCTGTGTTCCTTCCACCCAATGTGACGTCTCTCATTTAACTCCTAGACCAAGGCGTTATAGAAGCAGTGAAGAGGAATTATCGGCGGAAGCTTCTTCAGGTACTGCTAACTCATCTGGATGAAGGGCTGACTGTAATTGAGGCATTGAAGACGATCACGGTTAAAGATGTTTGCTATTGGATTGCATCTACTTGGGACGACGTAAAAGTGTCCACTATTCAGAAGTCGTGGAAAAAATTATTTAAGATAGACAACAAAACACAAGATGTTCAAAATGAAACTGATGACTGTGAAGTTGATTCTATAGCCAACCTAGCCAATCAATTACCAGTAGAACAAACAATCGGAAACCAAGACCTCATCGATTGGATGAATTTAGATGAAGAAATGGAACTGACAGATGATGCAATTGCCAATCTAGTTCTAAACGTCACCTATGAAGAAGAAGAAGATACAGATGAGATAACTCAAAAGATTTCTCATTCCGATGGATTGAAGTCCCTTAAAACAGCTCTCGCATACATTTTCAACGTTGGCGCAACATCGCCACCTCAAAAAGAGGAATGCAGTTGAAACAAAAATCAATCGAAAGACTTTTTAAACAGTAACGTTGATAAGGTAAATCTTTTTATCTTTTATATTAGTTTTTAGTTATTAAAATAAACAGATTAATCATTATTTATGTAGGTACACATTTTTCTATCACTATAACCAATCTCAGTGTTAACCGAGTTTTTTTCGGTATCCGAGGTAGTCACGGTCCCAATTACCTCGGATAATCGAGAGTCTACTGTATCTTCAAAACAATGACACAAAGAAAAAGTGATTACTTTGTTTTTGCAGAGTAATTTGGCACTTCAGCTGTGTTTGAAAATGAAAACCAGTTTATTAGATAATTCTTGGGAATGTCTAAAATACTATTAAAGTTGTATTTATTTCTTTATAAATTCTAAATTTTTTACTAACAAAAATAAAAAGTTTTTCTCTATAAATATAGTATAAAATATATAAATGTTGCTAAACATGCTGGTGATCAGGTAACTATCTGTGTTTTTTTTATGTATAGAACCATTTTTGACCCTCCAGTTCCGCCAGATGAAAGGAATTCCGGACTGGAAGGACCAGAGTCAACAATGATGTAGTGAAAAACCAAAATATTGCTGAAAATTTATTGACATGCCTGGGCCGAACTATACTGAATAAATTAATTTAAGATATGTTGTTTTAAATCTACCTGTATCTGAATATATTACTTTCTAGATCATATACACAGATGGAAATCAAGCATACATTTGGACAAATGGCCATATTGTACAAGAAGTGGGTGAAGAAGGAGATACTGTGTTGGTGCAAGATGGAGAAGAAATTATGGATCAATACTTAATGAATGATAAACAAGGTATACAACTTAAATTTTAAAAGAGGATTAGCTTTAACACAAGATGCTATTTTAGATCTATCCCAAGAAAACCAACAGGTTATTAAATATGTTGATGAGGAAGGTAATTTATCAGAAGCCTCCAATATTTTCTATATAGATAAAGAAGGTGTTCCTTTAGGTTCCCAAAGCATATCTCCTCAGTATTATTTGACTGACTTTATGGACTCTGTTCCTAATGTTTGTAATGAAGATCAAGATTCAATTAATACCAGTGAATACTATGTGGGAGATCAGGATGCAGATGCATTTGTTGATATTAATGATACAAATTGGTAAGACAGCATTTGGTAAAATAAAGAAACAGCATATATAGATCCATATACAGGGTGAGTCACTGTTGAGGAAATAGTCTATTATGTTTAAATTGTATTATATTGCATTTTTAGATTGTACATTAAAAAAATTAAATTTACCTTATTTCATCTAGAGAAGTATCATAAGGCTCATTAAACTGCTGATCCCAATCTAAAAATAAAATAGTTCTAAATGTCATATCTTTTGAGCCACCCTGAATATTCCCAAATTATCTTAAAACATCATTCTTGACTCACCCATATATGCTGTTCTTATTTGTCTGCATCTTTAATACATAATGTATTATTTCTAGGTATCTAAATATCTCCAAGGATGGAAATATACATATAACCATTCCTCCAACTGATAATAACGAAAATACAACAGATACTAGCGATGTCCCACAAAAAGTCGATTTAACTGCCATTACAGGAAAAAATCTTTTAACTGGTCAAGTGCTCAGTTTGGACAGTTATATGGACAAAATATTAACGCGGATGAAATCGAATCCGTCCATTAAATCTTCGAAAAGGAAGCATAATTTAAATGCTTATTTGAATAAAAAACTTAATTTGGGTCTTACGGTTGGTGGGAAAAAGCTGATGGGAAAGATAATTCATGTAGGCTCCAAAGGCAAGGAAGCGATTGGAGTTCGAGTTACAGAAGACGATTCAAAGAATAAAAATGAAGATATACTTTGTACAGGTATTTTTTTATTTTGTATTAAAGTATGTAAAAAGTTACGCAGTAATTTAAGGAGGCCATGAAATCAATTATTTATACAGATCAGTAGTAGCAAAGAATATAGACTCATATAGAAGGACAGTTCAAATGGACGATTTGGTTACGGTTATTATACTTCAAAACGCTCCTTAAGAGAGCGACTGCATAAACTCAAACCGTGGCCGTTGGCTTAAAACCATCATGAAAGATATAATTAGGGGGAAGTGGAAAGTGCATCCTGGAAAGATATTTCAAAGTCTCTTCACAATTTAGGCTTATTTTGGAGCGAGGAAATACTTATCTAAGGGTCTTTTGAGAGAACTTTATGTAGCCTTGACATTTCTGCTGCCTATTATATATCCTAGCAATGCCTTCTCTATGATTCTCTTTTTGTCCTTCTAAGTTGTTTTATATTCAGTCTATACTTTGCAATAATCGCCCCACTCACCTGATCTTTTGGAGCAATTAAATTTTCGTCTGACTTCTGTCCTTTGATTTGCAAGATTGTAATTCCACCAGGGTACTTTCCCATTGAAATTCCTCACTATCTCCGGACAGTTACCTTTAAACGCTGACATGACAATGGAATTGTACGGCGGCCATGTCTACGTTCAATGTATGCCTTATCGTCCCTTTAATCTTACCTATACAGTATTCCAGGTCTGCTTGATATGCTTCCCAATTTGTTTTACAAGGACGATAAGTTTCCTTGATATGCTCATTGCCTGTCTCGATGGTCTGAACAAGACACCTCATCTAAGGTATGCCATTTTTTAACAGTTTGGTGATTGTATTGCCCCAGGTCAGAACGTATACTAATCTGAGATCTATCTCCTTCATACCTCCTTCCTCTATGACCTTTATCTTTAATGTCGTTCAGTCTCTGGAACCGGGTCCTCTCTAGACGAGTCCTGGTGGTTTCTTCATCACGCTCTTTCTCGGGACGCGGGTGAGGACCATAACGCGCTTGTGCATATTATTTGGATCAATTATGTATATTTAAGTTTGCTCCCTCAGTCCCTCTCACAGGCAGAAGTTCATTTCGACCTCCGATAGGAGCCTCATCAAGTGCTTGCTCCAGCTTGTTAGTGATCAAATTTGCTTGAGCCCGATCTAGTTGAGTATCAGGATGGTACTGTGTGCTACCACCATTTTGAATACTTTTATCAGGGTGCTTTATGACCTAGTCTGCTCGTTAGAGCCGCTTGGTCTCTTAGCAACGCTGTTACGAGGGGGTTGATGGTATTCTCTCGAAGTCTCTTTTTATCCTCAGGTGTTGCTGATTTAGTTTTCTTGGGATTTGCTACGGTCCATGTCCCAGCAGCCATCTTTGCCTTTTTTCTCATCTTCCTGTGTTGAGCTCTAGAATAATTCTTGGTGTATGTGCTAAAAAGCAATTCTAACGTACTAACAAGATCATGAATTGTTTTTTGATTGAAACACCTTACAATTTTTTGGGCATTCTCTTCCGGTGATTGACTTTTAATTAATTTTACTTATAGTTTATAAGAAGAGAGTTTTAATTATATTATTTGTAGATTTGTACATATTTAAATTAAAAATTTGAATCATAGTATTTTTCTTTGGGTTATATGGAACTGTATATTGTACTATCATTTCCTTCTTTCTACAAAAATTTTTAAATATATTTGAATCATACTCACACCATTATCACATCTTGATTTTTCAGTGTTATTTCCAAATTTTGTTTCTATTGTAACATAGGTATTATTGAATGCTTCAAGGGCTTCATTTTTTCTTTCCACTAGAAAACATATACAAAAATGTGAATAATGGTCAATAAAAGTGACATACCATCATAGATGCTTGGAGTTATACCTTATAAGTACCTGGTGCTAGGAATAGGAAAGAGTGTCCTATCTGTGATGTTGAAATATTTGTTCACCAACAGTGGTATTAGCAAAATCAAAACCATCATTAGATAAACTTAAAGTAAGAGTATAACAATTTGCTCTTTAATAGCATGTATTTATGAACATAAAAATTTTTTGAACGTGTACCTAAATATAATCAATTATTCCGTGTACAATTTGTTTCAGAACCACCGGCAAACATGTTACGAAATAATTTGATTGCCAACTATCAACCAAAAAACATTACTAAAGAATCCGATCAATTTCAGCACATTTCGAAAGTTCTATCAGATTTAATGCGCAAAGAAAATTTTAAAGCGAAAATTAGACAAAGAAGACTTTGGATAAAAGTCGTAGAGAAATATCGAACGAAAGCAAGTGTGAGTACCAAAAACGTATCGTGGATTAGGGGGTGCATGGAGCCGAAATTGACACCTGTTGAAAATAATGAGTATTTAGAAGACTGGACTTTTGTATCTGATGATGTTATAACAGAGGAGAATTATGCTAAACTCAAGTCACAAAAAGAGTAAGTACAGTGATATCAGTAACTAATAAATTGATTCAACAAATTTTTTTTTAATTTCAATTCTTTAGATTTGTGCGTTTCGTCTGTCGATCCGGGGATTAGTTCAGTCAAAACTGAAACAATTACAGGATGTCGGATAGATATTAAATATGGCGCTAGAGCACCATTCGTCAAATGTTCCGTGCAGGAATCGGTATCAATAGGATCTTATACGTTATTTCTACATAACCCTGCTTCGTCAGATATCCGAGTAGTTACAAATTCACACACAGAACGGCCAGCAAATGTCCCTGCTTATTCTCCATTTAAAGTGGATAGCTACAAAAGTGCAATCTACTTTGTTGGCCAGATTTGAAAACGATTTAATCGTTTAATTGACGCTGATGAAGCAAGGTTGCACCATCAGCATTAAAAGTTACGTTTAGGGGAAGGTGAGGGAATATTGACTACTTAAGACAAAACTGTTATAGAGTGTTTGCTATAACTTTTACGAATTTGAAACTTATAATATGAACATTTAATTCATTCAGTTAACCAATTACTGCTTCAAAAATATTATAAAATAATTACAAATATTTTAAAAATACATATTTTTGAAACTCAAAAATTCGGGTAATATCGATAAAGGATGGGAAATATCGATCACAGATGGACAGGCTCAATGGTTAAGTCTACTTATGTTGAAGTATAAAACACATATTTCTTTAGTTATATTTACCGTTTGAGCAAACATAAAGAGTAGCAGTATCCACTTCCGTGCAGTCTGCATGAGCCCAGAGATCACAGAGACGACAACTCCACCATAATTCATTTGATCAAAACTCCGAACATACTGCACATAGTTCGCTCTCTCTTGTTTGGTGTGCTTTCACGCCATAAGTCTTCTAGACTAATTTTTCTGTTTTTATCTTAGTAGCTCCAATTGTTCGTTTAACTTACTCAACTTCATTCTTTTTTTGCTTTCTTTTTCTTCCATTTCTGATTGTTTTTTTCATGGTGTTGATGTTAAAATGGTCAAGTTTTGAGTTCGCCTGCTTCCAGTTTTTATATAACTACTGACTAGTAGTGCCGGTAGAGGGCATAGTTCGCTGAAAGATATATGAGATTCAAAAAACGCCTTCGACAGTTCTAATATTCTAGATACAAATTCGGATTACTCTTCCTTGGTAAAGACAGCTTTTCGTCCTAGTGGAATTCTTTTGTCCTCTTCGCCTTATGAGGACCGTGTTTTTTTTTCTGTGATACGTTCGTGGCATCTTAAATAAATAACATCAACTGAGACCTATCACAATTACGGCCGGTTTCACAATCAGAGGTTAACCCTAGGAGTTAAGTAACCTTTACCCCTAGTTTAACTGACAGATGCCGTTTCACATTCACAGATTCGGTTACACATGTTCTAGTCTTCTAGTGTGGTAGTTTGTTCTAAGTAGACGTTGTTTGTTCTTTCAAGTCAAAATTAAAATTATAAAATGGAACCAAGAAAAATATTCAAGAGATCGGCAAACTTTTCGCCAGAAGAGGAACGAATAGTTTTTTCCTTATGCATGAAATAAAAAATTTATAAATTGTATATTTAATTTGCTTCAAAATATTTTTAACTGTGTTCCTTGAAAATCTAAACCAACAGAAAGAATCTTCATTGTCTAGTTCTTCAAAATGATTTGTTCTGTGCCTAATGATTATTGGTCTGCCAGCTTCCTTATCATTGCTAAAAACATTTAAATAATTTACACAATATCTGATTAATTAATAATTGATATGTCTGTCTACACTCTGCCAATGTCAACAAAACGAAATTCGAAATTAGGTTAGGATATCCTAGTCAAGCTCTAAACCACCGCTTTTGCTTTGGGTTAAAAATTTTGTAGGTTAACCACAACCCGAGCTGTTGACCTTATATTGTGAAACCTATATTTTATGGTAACCGCTGGTTATCTTTTAACCGCAAGGTAACTTTACTTTGTGGAACCGGCCGTTAGGGTAATATCGATCACGTTGGGGTAAAATCGACTACTATGCTCGATTTTCTCCGAAAGTGTGCTCATTGTTGACTTTTTTAGAAAACACAACCTGAAATTATATAATTTTGTGATATCTGTATAGATAGAGTATAGATAGAGTTCAACATGAGAAGCTTTTAAGTATTCTTAAGACTAAAAACATTGATAGTAGAGATCTACAAATTATATCGAATCTGTATCAAAACCAGAAAGCAAGAGTAAGAGTCGAAGGAGAACTGACAGAGGAAGTAAGTATACTTAGAGGAGTTCGACAAGGGTGTATCCTTTCACCACTCTTATTCAACGTCTACAGTGAAGTGATTTTTCAAGAGGCTTTATTGGATATCGTGGAAGGTATTTATGTCAACGGAAATAGCATTAATAATATTAGATATGCCGACGATACTGTCATATTTGCAAGTGATATGGAAGATCTACAGTACATAATACAACATGTATACAATGCATGTGAAAGTTACGGACTGCAAATGAATCTCAAGAAAACGAAATCAATGATATTCTCAAAAAAACCACAAAATGTAAATAACCTGATCATCAATAATACAACGATAGAAAGAGTAAAAACATATAAATATTTAGGAACGTGGCTAACCGAAGATGGAGATCAAGTAAAGGAGATCAGATCTAGAATAGAAATGGCAAGAAACACGTTCATAAAATTGAAGAAATTACTTTGCAACCGTAACCTTAATCTAGAGATTCGCACAAGAATGCTACGTTGTTACGTCTTCTCTACTTTACTATATGGCATGGAAGCGTGGACAATACAGCAGTCTGAAATCAAAAAATTAAACTCCTTTGAGATGTGGTGCTACAGGAGAATGCATAAAATATCGTGGATTGAAAAAGTAACTAATATAGAGGTGTTACAGAGAATGAAGAAAGAATGTGAAGTCATAAAAACTGTTAAAATTAGAAAGATTCAATATCTGGGACATTTAATGAGGGGTGAGAAGTACGTATTACTGAGGTTGATTATGCAAGGGAAGAGAAACCCAGGACGACGCAAAATGCCTGGCTAAGAAATTTGAGAGAGTGGTTCGGCTGCAGCTCATTAGAATTATTCAGAAATGCGACCAACAAAGTTAAAATAGCGATGATGATTTCCAACCTCCGCTAGGAGAAGGAACCCGAAGAAGAAGAAGATATCTGTATCTAGAAATATGTTTTCATGCATTGTGAATACTAAAATGCTGACTCCAGCTAATAAAGAAGCCCTTACCTTAAAATACCATTATAGAATCTTATAAAAATCTTCCATAAAACACAAATTTACTAGACATTAAGTGCTTATGGCATATGAAAGACGACTAAATAGCCAGTGCGCCACCTGTTGTTGATGCATTCAACATGTGCGCATTTGTTTTCATCATCATCATCAGCCGAATTTTCACATCCATTGTTGGATATAGGCCTCCTCCAAACGTCTCCAGTTCTCTTTATCTCTAGCTGCTGCAATCCAGTTTGTTTCTATTCTCTTTAGGCCGTCGGTCCATCGGGTGGGTGGTCTGCCTCGACTTCGCTTGTCGGCTCTTGGTCTCCACTCCAATAATCTCTTCGTCCATCTTCCGTCTTCCATTCTAGCAACATGTCCAGCCCACCTCCACTTTTGTTTATTGATTCGCAGTATAATATCGTCTACGCCAGTTCGTCGGCGTATCTCCTCATTTCTTACGCGATCTTTCAAGGTCAGGCCAAGCATTGATCTCTCTATTCGCCTTTGTGTTACCCTCAGTTTTTCGGCAGTAGCTTTCGTTAAAGTTAAGGTCTCTGCTCCGTAGATCAAGACTGGTAAGATGCATTGGTTAAATGCCTTCCTTTTCAGGTGAATTGGGATATTTGTTTTAAAAATGTCTCTCATCCGTCCATATGCCGCCCATCCCAACATGATTCGTCTATTTAGCTCGCAGGTTTGGTTCTCTCTGGTTATTCTAATTTCATGACCCAAGTATGTGTATTTATCGATTAATTCTACCTTGTTGTTATTGATCTGTATCTCTTTGCTGGGAACCATATTGGTCATCATTTTGGTTTTCTCGAAATTTATCTCCAGCCCAGTTTCTTGTAGTATGTCATTCAGTTCTTGGAGCATGTCTTTGATCTCTCCCAGATTATCTGACAGAAGCACGATATCGTCCGCAAAACGTAGATGGTTTAATCTTTCTCCATCGATGGAAATTCCTTTCTGTTGCCATGTTAGTTTTTTAAATGCATACTCAAGAACGGTAATGAACAGCTTTGGTGACATGCTATCACCTTGCCTGACTCCCCTTTTTATCTTTATTTTATTAGTTGCAGAATATAGACTTATGGTTGTTGTGGCATTTTCATATATATTTTTAATTATATTACAATATCTGTGGTCGATCCTGCAATCTTGTAGTGCTCTTAAGATGGACGGTAGTTCCACTGTATCAAACGCCTTTTTGTCGAAAGTCTACAAATATCAATGCCAAGGTACGGTTATATTCGTTAGTTTTCGTTATTTGTTTCGTTTTCGCATTTGTTTTGCTCTGCGCAAATTTGAGAATGATCGACATTACGCTGCGGTCGATATTACCTCACCTTTCCATATAGGATAAATTATGAAACTGAATGTTTTTACTTCTAGTTCCGAGAAAACTATACACTACTAGTAAACTATGACAGCTAGATCGATTTTGATATCGTTTTATATTGAGTAAACTTAACCTCTAAGTGAATTTAACATATTTTATTGCAGATATTCAAACTACCTACATCTAACGATAATAACAACGCATTACAGCAGTAGCAAAAGTATTATTAAAATAATTATCGATTCGAAAAACGTTGATTGTCGTTATTGTGAGCAGATGTTTGGATCAAAAGAAAATATGGTAAAGCATGTTAATAAAGACCATAACGCATGCGAAGTTTGCAATGAAGTTTATCCAAGTTTGAGGGTACGTAATTTAGTTATACATTAATCGATTTAGATCAGCAGTTCCCAATCTTTTACAGCTTCTTCTTCTTCTCGTGCCACTCCTAGCGGAGATTGGAAATCATCATGGCCACTGCGACTTTGTTAGCAGCGCGCTTGAAAAGTTCAATCGAACTACACCCGAACCATTCACGTAGATTACGAAGCCACGATATTTTTCTTCTTCCCACACTTCTTTTGCCCTTAATTTTGCCCTGCATGATGTTTCTTAAAAGTTCGTACTTTTCACCTCTCACAATGTGCCCCAAGTATTCCATCTTTCTAGTTTTTATCTCATTTAGAATTTCGCATCTTTTGTCTAAAGTTTGGAGTACTTGCGTGTTAGTGACGCGGTCCATCCATGATATTCTGAGAATGCGCCTATAGCACCACATCTCGAAAGCTTCGATGTTTTTTATGGTCAACTGTTTTAGTGTCCAAGCCTCAACTCCATATAACAGGGTAGAAAAGACATAACACCGCAGCATTCGTATTCGTAACTTTATATTGATATCACGATTGCAAAAGAGTTTGCGCATTCTATTAAAGACTGATCTAGCGATTTCTATTCTACATCTAATCTCTTTTGTTTGATCAGTATCGTCTGTGATCCAAGCACCTAGATATTTATAACAGGGCACACGCTCAATCGTTGTATTGTCTATTACAAGATTAGCTCTGATGTTCTTTGATTTCGTGATTACCATAAATTTAGTTTTTTTCAAATTAATTTTCAAGCCGTAACTGTTACAGTATATATTGAGACTTTGAACGAGATGTTGTAGTTCTACTAGCGTTCCCGTTAGGAGAACTGTATCGTCAGCATACCTTATATTGTTGATCGTCTCACCATTTATTATCAGACCAAGATCTTCTTCCTCGAGTGCTTGTTCACAGATAGCTTCACTATACAGATTAAATAAAAGTGGCGATAAGATACATCCCTGCCGGACTCCTCGACGGATTTGAATTTCTTCTGTTAGTCTGCCCTCAACCTTGACATTTGCTGTTTGATTCCAATATAGATTGCATATAATTCGAATATCTCGGCTGTCTATATTTTTCTTTATTAGAACTTGTCTTAGTGGTTCATGTTGTACTTTGTCAAAGGCCTTTTCGAAATCAATAAAGCAGGCGTAAATTTCTTGGTTCATGTCTAAGCATCTCTGTGAGAGAACGTTCATTGCAAACAGAGCCTCCCTTGTACCCAGCCCTTTTCTGAATCCCATCTGAGTGTTACTGATGTCTACGTCTAATTTCCTATAGATCCTATTATGGATTATTTTTAAGAACAGTTTTAGAGCATGACTCATCAAAGCTATCGTACGATATTCGTTGCATTCCTTTGTATTTGCCTTTTTTGGCAGTAGTATAAAGGTCGAACGGAGCCATTCCCTAGGTATTATTCCAGTTCTATATATTGTGTTAAATAGATCTAGGAGTATTTTAATAGATTCATCGTCCATAAGTTTGAGCAGTTCTACGGGAATTTCATCAGGACCGGGGGCCTTACCACTTTTTGCTTGTTTGATTGCATATTCTATTTCTTCTCTGATTTTATCAGGCCCTGTATCATCTGTGTATTCGTTTGGGATTTCTTGTCTATCTTTGTCATCAAACAGTTGTGATATGTATTCTGTCTATCGGTTCATTTTTTGTTGTAAATCTGTTATAATTATACCATCTGTATCTTTGATCTGTCCTGTCTGTGTTGTTCTTCTCCTTCCTGTCATTTCTTTAATCTTTTTGTGTACATTAAAAAAGTCATATTTTCGCTCCAATTGTTCCAACTCATGGCATTGCTCACTTAGTCATCTTTCTCTAGCTTCTCTTATTTTCTTTTTTATCAGTTTATCTGTTTCTTTGTATCTTATCGGATTATTTGTTTTGTGTACCCTTCTTTCACGCATCAACTGTAGTATTTCCTCATTCATCCATTCTTTATGTTTCCTTTCTTTCGGTGTTAAATTTTCTCTCCCTGCCAACATTACGGCATGTTTAATATTCTCCCATTTTTGGTCTATGTTATCAGTATTTCTATTCAGTTTCTCTATATTTTGTAAATTTTCTTCGATGTTCACTATTGTTTTCTCTTTTATATGTTGTTCATTCAGTCTTCTCACGTCAATTTGTTTCTGTATGTGTTTTTTAATGATCTTTAGTTTTATTCTTAATGTGACTACTACAGGATTATGATCCGAGCCTATATCTGCTCCTGGGTAGGTTTTAGCTGAGAGTATAGAGTTGCGGAATCTTTGACTAACAAGGACAAAGTCAATTTGGTTTCTGACTACTCTACCTTTGGTGTCACTCGGAGATTTCCATGTGTACAGTCGTCTGTTAGGTAACTTAAAAAGAGTGTTAGCAACTACTAACTCCTCCGCTTGACAAAATTGTACCATACGGTCTCCTCGTTCGTTTCGTTCTCCTAATCCATAGTCACCCACATAACCGTCCACACATCCATGTCCAATTTTGGCATTAAAATCGCCCATTACTACTGTAGTATGATGTTTCTTCATTGATTTTAGATTTTGTTCCAGATCGTAATAGAAACTTTCAATTTCATCATCATCTTTATCAGCCGTAGGAGCATATACTTGTATAATATTTATAATTTGTTTATTTGACTGAAGTTGTAGTGTCATTATTCTATCAGAGAAGGGAGTAAAGCTTGTTACACAGTTACTAATTTTCTTTGATACCAAGACAGCGACAACGTAACGATGAGTTGAACTGATAGTGCCTGAATAATAAAGTGTTCCACTGTGATTCGTGCATTTTCCTGATCCTGGCCACTGTACATCACTTATACCTAGGACATCAATTTTAAGGTTTTCCATTTCAAGGGCTACATTATTTAATTTACCTGCTGCAAAGAGGCTTCTTACATTCCACGTCGCTATTCTTAATATCTTAAGGTGATTGATATTACTTACACAGGGATTTCGCTGGTTCACGACCCGAGAGGCCCTATGGTCTGTCTGTGGTTTTCCTCTCCTGCCGGATCTTGGGTTCCGAGGTCCATGATCAGTAACATGAGTGATTGATGTGACATTTGCCATCATGATTATACTAGGGAATCTTAAAGATCATTAATACAGTGGTTTCCCGTTGCCTTCTGTATCCTTACGCCGTTGACCATTCCTTGATTCATCCGCCTTCGAGACAGATTTCTCTATCTCAGGACAAAAGAGTGCCCTGTCACTTACCAACTCATCCGCCCGAAGCCGTTGGTAGGTAAGTGGGGGATTGCTTATACCGGCAATGGCTCGGTGGAATTGTCGCCATATCTGGCTACCCTCACATAGTTTAGCCTGCAGACCAATGCAGTTGCCCGGGGTGTGGCACGTGGAGCCATAAGTGAGAGTTAGTTGTCTTATGAGGACCAGTTATCAAGAACCATCTCCCGTCTATGACGCTCGATGTGGTCGTTCCTATAAAAGGTACTACCTCTATAACACAGCTCTACACCCCTACAGCTTGAGGCACACTAATTTGTGCCTCGTTAAGCCACATCACACTCGGGTTAAAAATCTTTAATTCAGCACTATTCGGTCAATTCTTACTTCCAATTGAAAGTTGTACTTTTTCAGGAGTTGATGACTCACAAACAGATCCACAATACTGCTGCCTTTAAAATATGTCCTAAGAACAACTGCAAAAAGTATTTTGTGACAGATCTGGCTTTAAAAAAACACACTGAGTCACACAGATTGGAATCTTTTAAATGTTCACTTTGCTCTTACAGGTAAGATATGTATAACAAAAAATTTTTAAGTAAATAAACAAATATTTTTCTTTTTATTGAATTTTTAAGTTTTTACTGATTACAAGAAGTTAGGTTGCTATTAGTACTAAATTTTTACATTTGTACAGTGTGTTCATTACTTGTCACCAAACTAGCCATCGTTGAAGATTCTGTTTGGTCGTTACAACATAGCTGTTCAGTTTTAACTTACTCAGTCACTGTCACTACTGGTGGGGATCTGAGCAATATTCAACACGTCATTACGGAGTGTGTTCTTTCTGACCGCATGAATCGTACGATCGGATTTAATGTTAAAGATAGTGCAAACAATCCTGGCCATGGAGCTGCGCGAAGGCGTAGTCAAAATTCACGTAAAGCAGAACGGTTCTATTGTAAGTGGAATTATACAGTGCATAGTACAGTGCATTTCGCATGGAAGTGGGGACTAAACCAAATTTCGTCTACTGCGCCGTGGTCAGGACTGCTTGCACTATCCTTAAAATTGGTCATAATCGTGCATTATTACAATTTTTTTCTTTAAATTTTTAGTGGAGTTAATGAAGCTGACTTTAAAGCTCACTCTTCGACTCATCCGTCAAGTTGTGACGTCTGCAACTTTGTTTTTTTCAACGAAGCTGAATTAGTGGCACATAAGCAACAGGTTCATTTGTCAAATGAAACCAGTAGACATAAAAAAGTAGTAATAACTAAGCTATATGTATGTGAAATATGTAACCACACATTTTCCCGGCAAGCGAATTTGCATAGACATCTGGAAATACACAAGAAAACGGATAAGCTCTTTACGTAAGTACTTTTTTTTATTCGTAACTTTTATTTATTGCAGGATGTATACGAGATTTGTTTAAAAAAAGTGACTCTTTTTCTCGAAAAACTTTTTTTTCATCAATTGGACGGGATTCTGCAGAAAGGAATCAAACCACAAATATGTATTGTATTCTTAAATAGTTGACATTTTGAAAATTCCTCACTTACTAACTATTCTGATGTTGTGGCAACGCTGTGAGCTTTTGACGTCATCAATCTTAAATGGCGAGCATTGATTTTTGTATGAAACATTCTATACTAAGACAATTACTATATTTGTTAGCTTTTCAGTTAAAAATTGTGAATATTTTAATACTTTTCTTTTTTGATATTTTACACTATTTTTTATTTTTTTGGCGCCCTTATTATTTTTCACCAAATAAAGCATTGAAATTTTAGCTTTTCTCTACTTTTTCGGCTAAATTCACTAGGGATTGCGTATTTATTGCGGATTCACAAATCAATCAAAAAGAACAGTGGTAAATGAAACTCAAACGCAGGCCGAAATGAAGTACAAACTACACTTGCTAAGGGAAGAATCCGTGAAAGACTTGTTCAGACGAAGGTTAGACCAAAAACTGGAAGAGTTTTGTTTTGGGAACATAGACGAAACATATGAACATATAAAATCCTGCATAAAGGAAGCAGCGGAAGTATGCTTAGGTTGCGAAGAGAGAAGAACAAATATATATATATATATATATATATATATATATATATATATATATATATATATATATATATTATATATATACAGGGTGGTCCTTAAGTAATTGTACAAAAAGAAACCGCAGATTCTATACTTTAAAATATTACGATTTAAGCCAACTTACTTTAATAAAATGTTGATATTAAAAAAGATACAGGGTGGTAAAGTGGAAATTTAAAATTTCATTTTTCGCTATAACTTTCATGTTTGTAAACATTTATATATAAAAATTTACAGCTGGGTACTATTTAATATTAGAAATTATAATTTGATGAACACTTTGATATAGCTAATAGAGGGCGCCACATATGCCACATACGTTGCATACATTTGCACTTAACTTTTTTGTTCTTTAAGTTACCGGTATTTTTTATGAAAAATATTAAAGATGCGTTATTTTAACAAAAAAAAGGTATACTTGTTAATAACTTCAAAACTCAACAGTTTTCGAGATAATCGCATTTTACAAATCAACTGCATAATTCTGATTTAACGCAATTACTCCAGGCAATGAAAGAAAAATAGATAAAAACATCAATACTTCCGAATTTTGTTATAAAATACCTTTAATAAAGTCAATAATTAACGAAATATTAAATAAAATAAATATATCAGCAGGATAATTAATAATAATATCTGATAAAATAACAGAATAATTGGATTTTACATCAAACATTTTACGTTTTGTATTAAATAAAAGGCATAATCAAAACATTTTATTTACAAACCAAATTAAGAAATAGTTAAACTAAATAACATTAAACTTTTTGTCAAAGTAAGTGTTCGATATGTCCACCTTTTTTTTTAATTCTTTACTTTCTTTACTTTAAAGTATGATAATAAGTAATTTTTTGAAATTTTTATGAATTAAATAATTATATTATTATCTCACCACAAGAATATGACTACAACGAACAATCCAACGTTCAGGAAAGTGTATTTAAATACTGTCTCACTCCGCTTTCTCTGTAATGTAATGGTTTACCATCTTGTAGAAACCACATATTTCGCCTTACGTTTGATGACAATTCTTCCAATATGTCGATAAAACCATTTTATAAAAAATGTAAATAAATCTCGTTATTCAAATTGCAAGGTAATTCGCATATCCGTAAAACATCATTCAAAATTCATATGTAAAATGCATGTCCTATGGTTTGGAACCATTGATAATTATTTTTTACGGATATGCGAATTACCTTGCAATTTGAATCACGAGATTTATTTACATTTTTTATAAAATGGTTTTATTAAGATATTGGAAGAATTGTGGTTTCTACAAGATGGTAAACCATTACATTACAGTGAAAGCGGAGTGAGACAGTATTTAAATACAACTTTCCTGAACATTAGATTGTTTGTAGTAGTCATATTTTTGCGGTGAGATATTAATATAATTATTTAATTCATAAACATTTCAAAAAATTACTTATTATTATACTTATAACACTTATAATCAATACTGCAGCAATTTCTTTAGAACCAATGACTCTATTTAATATGAGACGATATATTATCGAATGTATTGACAAATGAATTAAAGAAAATGGTGGACATACTGAACATTTACTTTGACAAAAAGTTTAATTTTATTTACTTTAACTATTTCTTAATTTGGTTTGTAAATAAAATGTTTTGATTATGACTTTAATTTAATACAAAACGTAAAATGTTTGATGGAAAATCCAATTATTCTGTTATTTATCAAATCGTATTATTTTATTCTACTGATATATTTATTTTATTTAATAATTCCTTAAATATTAACTTTATTAAAGGTATTTTATACCAAAATTCAGAAGTATTGATGTTTTTTCTTTAATTTTCTTTCGTTGACTGGAGTAATTGCGATAAATCAGAATTATGTAGTTGATTCCTAAAATGCAATTATCTCGAAAACTGTTGAGTTTTTAAGATATTAACAAGTATACCTTTTTTTTTGTTGAAATAACGTATCTTTAATATTTTTTATTAAAAATACCGGTAGCTTAAAGAGCAAAAAGTTACGTGCAAATACATGCCACATATATGGCATATGTGGCGCCCTCTATCAGCTACATCAAAGTTTGCATCAAATTATAATTTCTGATATTTAATAGTACCCAGTTGTAAATTTTTATACATAAATGTTGACAAACATAAAAGTTATGGCGAAAAATAAAATTTTAAATTTCCACTTTAACACCCTGTATCTTTCTTAATATCAACATTTTATTAAAGCAACTTGACTTAAATCGTAATATTTTAAAGTGTAGAATCTACGGTTTCTTTTTGTACAATTACTTACGGACCGCCCTGTATATATATATATATATATATATATATATATATATATATATATATATATATATATAATATATATATATATATATATCGACAGAGTCTATCAGAAAGCACGGAAGAATGTATTAAGCAGAAGAAACAGTTATATCATAAATGGTTAAGCTCAAAAGAACAAGTGGACCTAGAAAGATACAGAGAGAAGAACAGAGAGGTAAAAAGATTAATAACAAAATATAAAAATGATAACTGGGAATCAACTTGTATGAACATCGAACAATACATAGGAGGTACAAAGAACTCAGAATCCTGGAAAGTGATAAAGGGTCTGAAAGAAAGCACACAGGAAAAAACATATTTTACTTTCATAAGCGAAAAACAATGGAATGATTACTACCAAGAACTCCTGACAGAAAAGCGAACAAAATTCATGGAAAAAGAACAACAAACAACAAATACAAGGAACAACTAAATTTATCATTGGAAGAAGTAAAAAAAAACATAAAACAAATAAAAAAATAATAAGTCTGCAGGCCCCGGAGGGATAGCACCGGAGCTAATTAAATACGGCTCTGAAAAATTGTTTCGTATGATACATACCATGATTCAGAGAGCCTTGGACACTGAACAACAGCCTGAAGAATGGTCGAGAGCAGATATTATCTCTTTTTCAAGAAAGGGGGTAGAAGAAAATGTGAAAATTACAGAGGCTTAAGCATTTTATCATCTATAGGAAGATTATATGGAAAAATAATAAAGGGAAAAATAGAAAACAAATCCAAAATAAAATAGAGGTACGACCAGGCAGGTTTTACAGCTGGGAAATCATGTGCTGACCACATCTATGCTATACAACAGCTAATAGAGAAGAAGATGGCAAAAAACAGACCAGTCCATCTAGCCTTTATTCACCTAAAAAAGGCATACGACTCTGTGCCCAGACAACGACTGTGGGAAGCCATGCAATAAACAGGAGTAGAAGATAAGCTGATCCATGTAGTGAAGTCCATGTACACACATAATAATGTTACAGTCAAGGTAGGTAACAAATTTGGAAAACCATTTAAAACCACGAAAGGTCTCCTACAGATCTGCTCAACTTCACCTACACTCTTTAAAATATTTCTTCAATATGCCCTAAAGCCATGGAAAAGGGAATGTGAATACCCATAAGGAACGACCATCTGTATACCCTCAGTTTCGCCGACGATCAGGTCATAATAGCACAAGACGAGGAAGATCTGAGTTATATGGTTCGAAAACTAGAAGAAGAATATAATATAAATGGTCTGGAAATAAACATTAACAAAACAGAATATCTGAACACAACACAAGAACCAACAAGAAACCTGGAAGTGGATGACGGGCGTGAAATAAAGGGGACCGATAAATTTAAATACCTGGGGTTCATTATATCAAATAAAGGTACCTACTACAGAAGAAGAAATTAAAAATCGAGTGAGTCAAACCAGAGACTCTCTAAGACAACTGAATCCAATCCTATGGGACAGACACATAACAAAAAATAACAAAAAAAGAATTTATAACACTATGATTCGCAGCATTCTAACATATGGAGCAGAAAATTGGGTCTTAAACAAAAGCAGCAGAAACTACTATGGACTACTGGAGAAGAAGAAGATTTTCCAGAATGGACAAAAGAACTAACGACGAATCGAGATAACGAAAGACACATTAAATTACATTGAAGAAAAAATATTAATGTGGTACGGACATGTCAGACGAACAGACCCAAACCGAGCCCCAGACCATATAAAGAGGCAGACCAAGAAGATCTTTCAGAGATGAGGTAGATGAAGCCATGGAAAGAAGAGGATTGGAAGACGGAGAATGGGATGACAAAGAAGAATGGAGAAAATGGTTGAGAGAAGGAAGCCAGCGACAGCTGTAGGAACCCCTTTCATATATATGCTTATTATTATTATGGATTTGTAAATAAAAACATGAAATTAACACCAAAAAGAGTTTAAGGATGGTTTATTTTAAATTCAATCGTAAAATAATAAAATTATATAAAATAAATTAGTCAACATAACCTCTAAAGGTGACGTATTTGATTTTAATTAACTATTTGATTACAATCAAGTATTGTATTGTATATATTTCAAATAATTACCAAAGTATTGATCATTAATCACTGACTGAACAAGAACAGTTCGTGCAGAGGTCCTACCGTCTTACTACACTGATACTCCTTAATTAACTATTAAAAATAATATGACATTTGACATGATTCGCAGATAAACTATTCATTGATTTCAACATTCCATACAAAATTTAGTACAGATTCTTTATCGTTGGCCTAAAATCGCCAAGCACACCAAACTAACAATACAAAATGTCTGATGACGTCAACATATTTGACGGACATGTATACCAACATAAAAAAATCGAAAATCTATTGCATGCACCCCTTCAAAATTTAAAATGTTACATTTTTTACCAAACCTTATTTTCAAATCATATTTTAATGACATTGATTTAAGTAAATATTTAATTTTTATACCAGAATGTCTGTTTTTATTTTTAGGTGTACAATATGTGGTTGTTCGTATCACTTTTCATCATCTTTAACTCGTCATATCGTTAAAAACCATGTACAATTGAAAAGACCAGATGTTGCTCCCAGCGAAGAAGAGAATTCTATAGCAGTGATGCTTTGATTTAAATTAATGCAATAGGAAATATGGATACCCAAGAAGAATCTTTTATAGAACGCTTAAAATTCACCATGTTTCAATTTCTGTTGGGCAGCTGATAGTTTTTCGCTTAGTTAGAAGTTATTTAAGACTAGAAAGGCATAAAAACAGCATTAGATTTTTTATTTGTCAGTTGTATTCGGATGGTAGTAAGAAGTCCATAAAACTTTACTAAGAATGTATTAAAATTTATTAGTATCAAATCACCAAAGGCTGCTTTTAGTTAATCTATGATTAAGCAAATTGATGTTGGTTGCACCGTTAATGACAAATCCGTCAAAATCGATTTAAAGGACATTTTACGTAGATTAAGTGATTTTATATTAAGAATAAGTAAAAATGACATGTTATATTTTATTTATTTGTTATTCTTGCGAATATAATTGTATTATGTTTAAATCATTTTAAATTTTGTCTACGCATGGCCCATTAAATCTCCAGGTCGGAAGATTAGATGTGGCAACGCTGGCAGTCGGTCAATCATTGTTTTATACTTAATTAATAATAATGTGCAATAACTGGAAAAATATAATTTTTATTTAATTAAATTAATGAATTTAGTATTGTTTTGTCACAAATCATAAATGTATTATCGTAAAATGTGGTGAATAGGAATGGTTTCCAACTAAAAAAAAAAGCCACTAACATAATGTTGTAAACATAGAACTTATGCATTGTTATTTGGGTCTTACCTTCCTCTTTTGAAATTTAGGTGTTGAAAAATTGAAAATTGAATACTCTAACCTCAAAAAAAATCAAAACCTGGTGCTCCTATTCCCCTTTCCAAGTGGGGTGAATAGGAACAACAGTATGAAAAAATATTGTGTGCCTATTCATACATTTGTAGGGTCAATAGGAACAGGTAAAAGTGTATAAGGTGTAAAGTAACATACACATATAAATATAAAGTTTGTTTTATTGGAAAAATTTATTGTTGACATGAAAAATACACTTTTATGGTCGGCTAATATAAACACAAATCACTAAGATCATTGTTAAAACTAAACTAAGCGAGACGAGATATTTTTTTGTTTTATACATACAGACAACTGTCTTATAATATCATCGGGTTTAAAAAATGCTTCCTCTTCAGTTTCGGAAAATTTCCAAGTCTGGGAAACCTTTTTAAAAAGATACCTACGTAGCCGCCATCTTGATGATAGAGAACTTCAGTAAGGTAGAACCTGAAAGATTGCCATATACTTTTACCACTAAGAAGTCTCCAGGGTTAACGCAAGTGTTCGTTTCTTCATCAGATGACAACACTAGCTCCTTGTCACTGTCTTGGAGAGAGTTTTCTGAAGTACTAGATTCTCTATTTAGGTTTTTAGTGCGATTGGAAATTTCTTTTGATTGATTCAATTCTATGTTCTGAACTCCTGATAATCCTGCTTCAGGTCCAAACTCTTCTTCTAAATCTGTCGTCACAACACTTTTTCCTGGTTCGACATTCATTTTTGTTTTCTTTTTCTTTGGTCTCAGAGTATCAGACTGTCTTAATGTCTTCAAAAGTTCTTTAAAAGTGTCATCAATCTCTTTCACGCGAACAAAACCTGACAACGGCGTTTGTGTTCAAGATTGTCTGCTATTATCGTTGTCTGAGGACTTTGGTGTGATCCAAAGACACGATGCCACATTTTTAAACACTGATGTGGCATTTTCCTCTAAAAGGCGGCTGGAAATCGAGGGGCTGAGTAAAGTGTGTGGAATTACTTGGTTAAAATATAAACTTGATGTTTTTTTCTTGGCACGATTAGATTAAATAGATTGACTAGTGAGACGACAAGTTGTCCCTAATTAATTTTTGCCTTCTAGGTCCTTGAAAAAAGGAATTGCAATGGACTGAACCCAGTCACTGAAACAAAAACTGTCAAACCAACCTGACTTAGTACGATTAAAATGAGTGTTTTTCTGACTCTCTCCTTGACATCTGTCGTATAAATGTTGAGTTTTATATGCATCATAAGGTCGTAATATTTTACTCTCTTCATTAGCTGCAAACATTACGGAAGTAGACGCTTTTGATGAGTTGACAACTCGTTATGGGTACTTGCAGTTCTAAAAATCATTGTACGTATTCCTGGGTCGTCACTAAGATTTGTTTCACCATAGTTGATGATTAGACTTACGGGAACTTCTTTAAGTTCTCTTTCGAACTCGTCGAAATACTTATTAATTATCTCAGGGGACACAGTTGTCTTTTGATGTTCTAAAACATTCTGTTTGATTGTTTGTGCCGAGTAAGAAACGAATACACCCAATCTCGACCATGGGTGTTATTCTTGAACTTGGAAATAACTTTTCCCTGGTGTTTCAAATATTCTCGTATGATTAACCGTAAAGTGAGAGAATCTATTGGGTATCCCCAATCAGCACAAACTGCTATTCTGTCAACGAGAACTAACTCTTCATCTTCGTCAAGAGAGGTCTGACTTCCTTTTTGCTGTGTATTAACATTTTTTATATTTCTGTGTAAGACCGTAGTAGGTATATTATACTTAAGAGAAGACTGTCTGCAACCAATACCTTCTTTTATTTCATTTAGGGTTTCTTGTAGGTTTTTTTGTGTGTAGCATCTTTTCTTTGCACTTGTTACAGCTTGATATTTTCGCGGCATACTGCGAAAACCTGTAATAAACTTTTGTTTATCTAATACCTCCATGTTTTGTCAGTGGCTCAATTTACTTCCTACAATAAAGAAGTAAATTGAGCAGCAAAAATAAATCTTGCTCTATGAAGGTATTAGATAAACAAAAGTAATTTTTAATGTGTGGAATGGATGGAAACACGGTAAATATTATGTATATCAATTAAAATACAATCATGTTGACTGTTGTAAACGTTAGAATACATAAAAAAAGAGTGCTCGTAAATCTATTTTGACAGAGATTTTGTACTTACCGAGAAAGTATTTATGATGAAAAATAACCTCAAAATTAATGACTTTGTTTGCGCGCCGAAAACATAGGAACCAGCAAAAACCTGCAAAACTTAAATAGAAGATTATTGTTATTATGTTCATATTCACCCCATTTTAGGGTAGGCGTTTTCTAGCATAGCTATTTTTCTTTTTGTATGACACTTTTATTTTTATTTACAAATATGTGGTATATTTGCTAAAATAGGCCGCATTCAATCAAGAAGAACTTTTTTGTTGATAAATCTCTAAAATAAATTTACACTTTGTTCTTATTCATTTTTAATATTTACATTTTAAAATAATGTTTAAAAATATTTTCAACCTGTGACTGAGTCAATTTTAAAATTGTTGGTTTTTTTTCTCACAGCCTGCTTTCAGTCGTGATGTAGTCTTGTGTTTTGGACAGTTCTACATAACTATTTCATTTAATTTGATACAAATTTATGTAACATAACATTTACTAGAATTATACCACCCAAATATGCACTTGTTATATTATTTAGATCTTATTTAATTGCAATTTGGATTTAAAAAAGTTATGTTTTTACTTACTTCTGTATACACTTTGTAAATTGGTTTATTTGATAATAAATAATAGTTGTTTCAATTTTAATTACACAGGGAATATTAATAATATTGCTACAGCTTTACAGGATATATAAAAGTCCAGTAAGGTAAGAGTTCATTCGAATTGACACATCTATAAGTTACCGAGTATGCCAGTGGCGTTCGTTTTTTACGGGAATGTGTATGAAAGGCGTAAAGTATTTCTTGTTTAATAAAAAAATTAATGGATTTTACAATGCAACAACAATGCAATAAAATTGTTATTTTCACAATAAAAATCAAGTATTTAATGACAAAATTCTTGTTTTGGTAAATTGCCAGCTAACCAGGGATTGTTAAAAATTCAATTTTTTTACTTAGTCTGAAAAGTGAAAAAAAAGCATTTTTTCATGATTTTTATGACGAAAACTATAAAAAGGATAAAAAATGAATAAAAACTAATTAAAGATCGGAAAATATAACAGAAAGTGTTATCATAATATGAAACTATCTACTACAATATCATATGAAATTTAATGTACATATAAATACCAATATATTTGGTGTTGAACCGTGTAAAAATACAAAAGGACATAATTCAATTGAAAATAATAAATCCCTAGCATCTACGCACAAATTGGAATTTTCTTTATATGCACAATTTTGCCGCATTCACAATTGCTTTTTACAGAGTGAAATTGATATTTGAAATAATATATAATAATTTGAATAAAAAGTTGATATAATAGTATATATAATACTGCTTATTCTCTTCTGTCGGTGGATAGAGTTTTCCGGTAGCGAGGAATCGTGATGTAACGTTTCGTCCTGAGCAAGAAAAGTTTTCTTGAAATAAAATTCGGCGAAATAACCTATAAAGTGCTCTTTCCGTACATCCTATTTAAGAATAGTAGATCGAACTTCCCTACAAAGCGGTTCCACGTTTTTAGTCGCTATCAAGATCCAAAAAATGCTTGATGAATAAATTCTTCATGGTTCAAACAATCATAAGATTTCTAACAATTGCCATAAATGGTTGTTCCAGGAAGAATCTATTCCGTAATTATTCCAAGCAGTGTTGGTATCCCTTTTATCAACAGGTACTAAAAAGAACTTCTGGGAGCTTCGTCCCATTCCACCAAAAACCCACTGCTTGATATATAGACGAGCTTGTTGTATTTTGTTCACTAGAATTTTACCAACCCCTGTTTCGCTCTTTGATGCTGCGTCAGTGTAGAGGACCCGATCGAATTTCTTAAAATTAAGAATTTCTAGTAAGGATTTTCCTAATCAAATCCTGGTTGGTTTCTGCCTTACTAAACTTTGTTACACATTAAATTTCATTAAAATTTTGGTCCATGGAGAATTCTGCAGGATTGAATTAGATTTATTTACCAATTGTACAATCTGGCAGTGACAAAATGTAAACAATATAATTCCATAAAACTCTTCATTTAATATTATTTACTATACTACAAATATGCCCATTTTCTGATAAAATTTGGCATCATTGTTGACCATAAGAATCTGTAATGCCAAGTCAAGATAAGATAAGACTATGGTACTGTACTGGTATATATAGCCAATTGTGAAAGATGTTTGACTTTTTAAATTTATTTTAATTTGTTTATACATATAATTCACAATATACTACACAAAATAATATTTTCTATTTTCCTTGGGGAACCCATGCTTCAATTTTGGGCCTAGTAGTGGAATATGGCATATACTGTCCTGGTGTTCCACTTAAATTTTCTGTGTGATCTGCCATCCATTTATACTTTGGTCTAGATGGATCCTTATCTGGGGTAAGATCAGTTTTGTAATGTAACCAGCCAAACCATTCAGCAGGAACCTGGCTTCCATCATATTCCACACCTGAAAGAAATAATAAAAACAGAAATAAGTTGTTTTATTTATTAGTTTTCTAGATAAGGACCTTGTAATATTTAGTAATTCATTTTACAGTACATTATACTTATAAAATGTTATCTTCATAAAGATTCAGTTACAAAAGATGGTGGCTACATTATCTGCACGGAACAGAAAGTGTGACGAACCAAATATAGTGCAAATAGATGATATAAGAAAGATAATGTTGACAGACATAAAGTTTAGTCTGGAAAAAAGTATTTCTTTGGCGATGGACTCCACCTAAAGCTATTTTACAATTCAAAATAACTGTCAGAGTAATATGTTAATGACTAATACGAAATCATCTAACTGGGGTGCCAAACTAATATATTTTGGGTCAACTGCCACAACCACTGTATTCATACCAAACATTTAGTTGCTGTTGTGTTTTTAACATCCACAAAATCATGTGTTGTCTTATAAAATAGTACTGTCTAGTTTTGGAGTGGACTGGCATAGAATAAAGTCTCGAAAAATATTCAGTTAAGCTTTATAGATAACCTATAAAAAATTACTTTCCATAGTAAGGTGCATATTCAATCCATCGATTTCTACCATAAAAGTAATGAGGGTTTTCATAATATTTATTTCCGTATTTGTCTGTACCGACAAGTGTTCCCGGTCTCAAATTATCCATCCTAAAATAAGATATTGTTAAAACAATCTGTTATATAATTTTTACATTTATTTCTTACCTATAAAGTTTATATAACGAAGCTCTTATTCCTCCAGCTTCTTTGATTGTTTTTAAAAAAACAAAAAATTTATCAATGCCAAAGTATTTGGCCATTTTAATTCTTTAGTTTTTCAATTCAAATTAAATAGATTTATTTTTTCCAAATGTTAAAATGGATAAATAACTATCATAGAGATCTATCTTATGTCTATGTCAGTGAATCTGTCATTTGACCATACACTTCATAAAATGTGACATAGAACTAAAATATATTTTATAATAGTAGTGGACATCACAGAACAGGTATAATCATTTAAATATTTACATAATTTCAAAACAGTCTATCATACAACATTATCTTTTTTAATATCGTTTATGATACTGGTGACCTATTGAATATTGACATATAATATTTATTTAAATATATAATAGTGGTGACAACTATTACAATTCAAAAGTTGAAAATAACTCAGTTATTTGTTCTGAAGCTATTTTCTTGTGGCATTGTAAATTAATTACTATTTATAACTGGGAATAAGCCACATTAAAGATAAAAATACATTTATTGACGTTTCAATTTCCAATTCGGAAATCGTTCTCAAAATACAAAATACATTTGTATTTTGAGAACGATTTCCGAATTGGAAATTGAAACGTCAATAAATGTATTTTTATCTTTAATGTGGCTTATTCCCAGTTATAAATAGTAATTAACTCAGTTATTTAATAAAAAAAAATTAAAATCCTATAGAACATTGTTATATAAATAACGTGTCTATAATAAATAAGGGAGGAATCTTCTAATACACTTCATCTAATTTATATAACGATGCACGTCATCGGCGTTATAGCCTGTGACGGCACATGATACCAACACAAAATATTTAGGGTGTAGTTGTGTTCTTTTTTAGAATCACTTTACCGAGTACACTGGCATTACAGCCACTAGACATATTTTATTATATACGCGTAGAAATAATATTTAAAAATTTCTATTAATGTTAACTTAAAGAAATACAGAATAATATGTTTCATTTAATTTGTATAAATACATTATAAAGCGTTTTATCAAGAACATTTGTTCGGAACACACTGTAACTGTAATCGAACGAAGGTAAAATTTTGGCATAAATTGATAACACTTATTTGACAGTTGCGGTGTTGACACTTTTTGTACTTTATTATTTTGAATTTTAAAGTGAATATCTCTTGTTTTATATTTTGAACCAGTTAATAAAATCTGTTCTTTTTAGAACAAAATTAGTGTGTTTTATTTCAAAAATGTCACGTAAGAATTTAAATAGTCGTTGTAAAGTGATGGTAATACTTTTGCAATAATTATGTAATCTATTTGATTTAAAATGGAATCAGGATTTTTTTATACTTTGGCAACTATGTCAACTTCCATCTCTGACGTAGATAATGACGTAAGTCGTTATCTAAATTAGATGAAGTATATATTATTTTACGTCTTTACTCTGACGTCACGAAGTGTGACAGACTGACAGATGAATCATACATTCTATGTGTGTCATGTATATCAGCAGCTCAGCAGCTAAACTTCAACATTTACCACTTGTTTAAAGTTTAAATGATAGACTGACATTTTCTTCAAAGCTTAGGTTTACAATCCTTGAAAATCGATTCATAATATGAGTGATGCGAAAATAATATTAGTCAAGTACCTTTAAATTAATTCAACGATTAATTCATGCCTCAAGAGAGTCATATTATTGTTTTTAGTAAAATGGAGGATGTAAGTGATTTGTCAGGGGAGGTTACAGTAGTGGATGTGTATGATATTGCATCTGATATTGGAAAGGAATGTGAAAAAATCATAGATCAGCATGGGGCTGATGCCATGACTGCTTTAATGCCTAAAGTAATAAATGCATTGGAACTTTTGGAAAACCTTGCTACAAGAAATGAAAGAGAAAATATGTTGTTGCATGAACTACAGGCTAAAATATCTCAGTTAGAAAATGACAAACTCGAAAAGGCTGAAATACAGAAAGAAGTTTGAAAAGGTAACATATATTTAGCAATAGTTAAAATGTATTTACTCTCGGGACAGTATTTTTATCACAATGTAACAGGTCAAATGTGGTAGAAAATGGGTTTGGATAGGAAATATGCAAGATTTAAGGCATCTGATATCAGAAAGTATCTTGGTATTTAGGATATTATTGACTTTTTGAAAGAACAAATGAAACTTTGTTTAAAAATAGACTAAGTAATGGTATATTCTGTTCACTGAAAGGAGTCTCAACTTTCTATCAAATTTATTAATTAATGTTTTGCTATGTTAAACAGATTGTATTTCCACTGGAGATGACTGGAAGTTACTTTACAACCAAACATACATTCTCATAGCCAGTATTAATTGGAACTTAAAGTAAAAAATTATTCAGATGCAAGTTACCAGCAAAGTAAAGTGACATTCATTAAAACAAAGGTTGAAATGTTTATTTCTTAAATTTTTAGGCACTTGTAGATTAGTATTGGCAAATAGAAAGTTGTTAATAAAATGTGACTACTTATAGTTTAACAATGTTTGAAAGAATATTATTTGTAGGACCAAAGTTATAAAAAAATAAATACCATGACAAACAATATACAAAACAATTGACAAAAATATTGAAAAATATAAGAACACAGTATTAATTGTAAAAGAATATTCTAAATGGACTGTTAAAACATACAAAAAGATTTTCTGTCAAAACAGTTTCTATTTCTGCTTACTTATTTGTTTTATTCTAAAATGTAATACGAATATATTGCATCCAATAGACTGAATGAAGTGAAACTAAGACCTAGAAGAATTGGGATCAGGTAAACTGCTGGTCAACTAATATCAAATTAATAGATCAGAACCATATTGGTTTTGATCATCAAAAAAGTTGCCAATTCAATTCCCTCAAGATATTTTCTCTGCTTAACCCTCACTTTACAGGTTATGGCACATTAGTATGACCACTATCAGACTGCCACAATCAGTTTTAACATTTAATCAAATGAAATGGTGACACCAGCTATAGTGTGTTTTGTTGGTTGTGGTCAGGGTCATATGACCAGAATCTAGTGACAGCTGTTTCCTCTCTGATCACAACCAGAATCATGACCAGTAGTTGGTATGTGTAAAGTGAACAGATTGGCATATTAAGTTTTTTCATTTAATCTAAGTTTTTGATTTATCACATTTTAGCTCAAAAACAAACAATCTGACAAATTGTGATAGTGGTTACCAAAAATATTATTTTGTCTCTGAATATACACTTAACAGTTTGGTTTATTCTTTATTTATTACTTACCTTGCATGTAATAGACTTATTGAATACACTTTTTAGGAGTTGGAAATCATCGAAGAACAATGGCGATCTGAAACCAAGGAATTGGTTTCTATGGTTTCCAAATTACAAGAAGAAAATCGACGTCTTGTCAAGGAACATAGTCCAAATCATACACCAGCAAATTTAACCCCTACTACAGAAAATGATATTTTGCAAAGGTTAAAGGATTCTGTCGAAAAGCAGAGAGACGAAATTAGGTTTAAAGAAAAATTATTACAAGAAAAAAACCTTGATGTAGATAATGTAAGTATTTATATTCTAAGGCAGGCTATGGAAAGCAAATGCTGTCAGTATATTTTCAATAGTTTCATGTATATTCAGTTTGTAAGATGTAAATCTTACAATATTTAAAAGCTTTTCAAAATAATTTTCACAGATTAAAGATTACAAGCAGTATCCTCTTCTAACATAGAGGAAATTGTAAAGTGGCTTTTGGAAAATGTACTTGCAGGAATGTTACTATTTTTAATACTTCTTCTGAACATTTCTCAAACATTGATACTAGGCATTATTTATATTTTGCTATAGATTTGGAATAAAATAGTGGATAGCTTTCATTTGCTTTAGTTAGGAATTAATGGGAAGAGTACAACTGAGTCATAGGTAGCCATGTCTTATCATACTGCTAATTCACTGGCTGAACTGATCCATTAACCACTCTCAAACCAATGCTGGAAACAGTCATTTGCACATGGTTTTTTCGCAGGGAGATCTGTTGGACAGCTACCTATGATTTTATATCAAAAACCTTAGAAAAACTAGAAGCAAAGATGAAAACACTAGCTGCTTTTTTTAGACTCATCTAAGAGCCTAGATCATGTTCTATTATTACAAAAATTTGATCGTTATAAAATAAAGAGTTAAATTTAAATGGATAAAATCATTTCTGACAGTTGGGTCAGACAACGAGCGTTACTTTATGGCTGTTACGAATAAATCCATGATTCATTACCATTCATGATCTATGCTTTTTTTTGTTTCTTGCATTGAAGAGCTCTTGAGTTTGTTGACTCACCCCTACTGTTTTCTGTTTGATTTTTGATTTGATCAACAGATCCGGTATCTAATGGCAAACCATTTCTATGTTGTTCTTTGTAGGTAAGCAATTTTGGTGCTCTTGGATCGTTGCTAAGAATAATTAGTCCGCATTTGAATTATTTACATCCTTAAGAAATTGTTTATTGATATGGTGATCCTTTACCAAAAACAGAAACACAGTGAAGCACTCTTTTTGTGATATTTGACTTAATAGCGAAATTTTGAATTTAGGTTAACTAAAGACGGATAATCATTTTTATTGATGACATTTAATTGGTTGCTTCCTCTATGTTTCAGTAGTTAAAATATAAAAGACACGTCTCAGCTTGTATTATATAAGTTTCCAGACTGAATTAAATATTCCTGTATTTCAAGACAATATGTTAATATCTGGACATATATCTAGTGAGAACAGTTTTTAGGAATATTTAAATATTTGTGATGATGGATATACCTCAGGTGTATGACAAGGTAGTGTTTTATGTCAGTATTATATCCACTCCAAATAAGATGGATAAAAAAATATGACCATGTGGTACACAGATACTTATGTTTTACCAATATGATAGCTGTTTTTTATGTTTATAAATAATATCTTTTTCAGTTAAAGACGCAAGTTGAAAAATTGACCAGTTCCAGTAAAGAGCTACGAAGAAAACATAAATCAATGCAAAATCAAGTGAGGACGCTTTGTGATGAAAGGGCGGACTTCCTTGTGCAATTACAGGACCAACAGAGGGACATATCAGCACTTAGGCAAAGATTAGGACTTGCACAAAAAGAAAACGAAGATCTGGTAAAGGTATATTTATCATCTTTATATTTTTAATATTAATCCATATTTATAAATCTTATTCTAAACATTGGCTTAGGTGTTCTAATGGAGTGTGTCAACACGAGTAATTATCATAATGAATGGCTTGGTTCAGGCTGGCCAGTATCTGTTTAATATGTTGTTCTATATCAACTTAGAACTATTTTCAAATAATCCCCAAATATTAGGACAAGTGAATTATTGTACTCTGTAGTTTTCTCTGTAAGGCTTTTTAGGACTAGAAAATGATTATTAGCACCATATCCTTCCCTAAATCCTGCCAGCTTGTGTGGTTGGTATAGATCTTGTTTGGAATTTAGTCTGTTAGTAATAATCCTTGTGAAAAATTTGTAAATATGTGGTAACACACCTGTGAGTCAGTAGTTTGGTTTGTTATATCTCATTTTTTATGTGTACAGGGTACTCCAAACCTCAAGCTTTCTTGTATTACGGCTAAACTATGGAATATATAGGAAAATGTTTCAATCAAAACTAATTTATATCAAAGATGTCTATACTTATAAAAGTATTTTCAATTATTCAGGGTCAGTCAGACCAATGGAATGAACCAAAGTTGTGCTTTTAAATGAAATACCCTGCATATTAAACCATTTTTGAATGTTTTCACAATATGAAGACTTTGTATAAGGTTTACATCATTATCTCAGACATAGTTATCACAGAGATATTGTCTGATCCTTGGATAATGACTCGGGATATTGTGATGATTTTTATGTCTTAGTGGTGTTTTTAATTCTCTGTAAAATGTTTCAACTGTCTCAAATGATTTCTTTTTCTGTATGTTGCTGTTTGTCTCATTGTGTTTGTAACTTTTCAGATGTTTGTGAGCTTTGTCTATTTGTCAGTTTGATGCAAGGAGAATCGATTATGCTGCAAATTGGTATTTTTGTGACTGTTGTTATTTATTTATTTATATACGGCATCCATTTACTTACAATTTTTACAAAGTTACATCTTAAAAACAATATGATATTAAAATAACAATCACAGGTTTTGCAAAGTTACACCTTAACAACTATAAATTATTAAAATAACAAACACCTCAAAATAATAGAAAACATATAAGAATAATACAGATGTACAACCAACTTATTGTAAGATACTTTTTAGTTGTTTTTTAAACAAACTAATTTTGGAGTCAAAAATATCTATTTGTCTTGGCAAGCTATTAGCACTCCGGACCAATCGTGTAGTTGGTTCAGTGATACCAAAATTAGTGTGGTGAAATGGCACCGAAAAGATTTCTGATTGTCTGTTGCTTCTACTAGGAACTTTAAGACTAACAAGCGATAAGAGATGAGGACAATCTATAAAAGCATTGATAACTTTGTGTAAGAAACATAAATCTAACATTGTTCTCCTTGACTCAAGTGTTGGTAAGTTAAGACTATCTCTTACCTACTGATAGTCAATTCCTCTCTCCTGTATCCACTCTTATAGGTCGCTACCCTCAAAAATTTATTCTGGACTCTTTCAATCTGTTGAATGTAACAGTGGTATGATGGGGACCATACAACTGATCCAAACTCAAGAATGGGCCTAACGAGACCAGAATAAAGTCTTCTAAATGTAAATAAAGACAGATCCACAGATGTGCGTTGGCTAAATCCCAGCACTTTCATCGCTCTGTTTGTTACTTGATTAATGTGGCTTGAGAATGACAGTTTGGTGTCTAACCAAATTCCCAAATCTAATACTTCATGTTTCGAGGCTAATGGCAAGTTATTTATGTAGTAAACAAATGTAATTGGATTTCTTTGCCTCGAGAATGTCATTTTATGACATTTGTTTATATTGAGTGATATTTTGTTTAAAGTGCACCAATCATAAAACGATTTAAGATCTTCCTGTAATATAACAGCATCAATTTTACAGTTTTACATCGTCAGCAAACAGACGAACACTACAATTTTTGATTTGTTGTACTAAATCAACCAGAAACAAGCAAAACAAAACAGGGCAACAATGTGAGCCTTGTGGCATGCCTGATGGAACTGTTATTTCAATTGAAGTGCCACTTCCCAAGTTAACTGTCTGCGTATGGCCACTAACAAATTCTGTAATCCACTGAAGAAGGGGATCCAAAATACCCAAAGCTCTTAGTTTTTGTAAGAGGACCCCATGGTTTACCCGATCAAATGCTTTGGAAAAGTCAGTATAGATCGAGTCAACCTGACATCCCTCTTCAAAGCTGTTATATATATGATTGACATACAAAACCAGGATGGTATCTGTTGACCTCCCTCTCATAAAGCCAAATTGTTCAGGATTAAAAATGCCTCTATAACTCCATGTCAGTTTCTTACTAACCAAACAATCAAGCAACTTGGGCAGCTCCGACTGATTACAGACACCTCGATAGTTTAATATATCGTTTCTTGCACCCGATTTAAAAATCGGCTTTAAAAAACTTTTCTTCCAGATACTGGGAAAGCTACCAGTACCAAGTGATCTGTTAAAAATAAACAAAATTGGTTTTGTAAGTACACATACATTTTTTCAGAAAATAGGCTGGGATTCCATCCAAGATTCCATATTATACACTATAGACTATAAGGATGGTAATACTTAACGCCAAATGGGGTCGTCCGCACAGACTAAAAAATATGAAAGACACCATATGTCTCCTTCCGCAACGAAAGTGTTCTGTATATTTTGTTTCCCTAGGGATTTGGTTGGGTACTTTTTTAGTTTTTGTATCGTCAATTTGATACTGGTTCTTCAAATTTTCTACGTCCATAATTTTTATTTCAGAATTTTTAGAAAACGATTTTCGGATTGGAAATCTTAGAGACTTTATTTTTACTCACATTAACCCTTATATTATTATGTAATCATTTTTAGAGTGATGTGCCAATACCGAGCAATATGGCGATGTTCGATTTAGACGACCCAAATAGACCAAGATTTACAACGCAAGAATTGAAAGATATTTTACATGAACGCAACGAACTTAAAGCTAAAGTTAGTGATTTAGAGGATGAATTGGAAACATATCGACCAAAGAAAAAAGAGGAAACGTAGGTTATATAAAAATTAATAGGATACTAATGTCTAGACTGTGTTTTAACACTATTTATTTCTATTATTTTGTTACTAACAAATAAATCCAAAGAATTTATGATATTTGTACCTTGAAGTTCATATTTAATTAACAGTTTTATTTTGTTTCTTTATTTGTTTACTTTTTTGTTTATTTTTGTATATTTTTTGTTAAATTTTTATTTATTTTTATTCATAGCATCAAAATACTGATTCCATTAATGGAACAAATTGAGATGATATATGAAAATGTAGTAGGTCCAAAACAAAATACTAGTCCAGTTTTAGATGAACCGTAAGTTTACTTGTTTTTCTGTTGGAATTTTATTTATTTTAATTAATTATTCATTTTATTTCTTTTTTTTTTAAGTTTTAATTTATATTTCTTGAGTATTTCTGGTAACTTTGTTCGTTTTGCAGTCCCTTGGATGAAGATGCCCCAGTGCAAGGTCCACTTCCATACGAACCTGACGATGCTCCTTGGAAAAAAACAACTGAATCCGGTATTAGGAAGTTGTAAGTACTCTTTTAATCAATGGTATACAGATAACGACATTGTTTTGTTGACCATAGGAATTTATTGCTCCGTCCGCCTAATGTTATCATCCGGAAATATATATTGTCTTGGTTGTATCTTAAACAGTGATATATCCTTTTGAGACTTCGCTGGTCTAACACGTGGTTCATTACCTTCAAGACACTTTTTATACCCGGTTCGCTATTCCCAGTCCGAACTGTCTAGTGATTTTAGTAATTATTTTTTTCCGAAGTTAGTTACTTTTTGACAGACTCGAAGTGGCTGGAAATTACTATACAACCAAGCATACGTGCTCTTAGTCAATATTAATGTAAACAAAAGTAAATAAAATAGAACTTTGCCTACAATCAATATTTATTTATTTACACCGTATAATGTATTGATAACAAATAATAAAATTTATTGTACAAAATAAAAAAAGTGGGAATAAATTCTACAAAATTAAAAAGTCAAAGTGAGGTTAAATAAGACACAGCAAGTTCCTTATGTTGTGACTAGGATGGAATCAATGATTAAATAACAGTTCATTGGATAGCATTAACATAAACTGTTGTTTTATTATCTTACAAAATAAGTGTACTTCCATATGCTAAAAGCAAATATTAGTAATTGGACTAAGCATATTCGTGGTTCAAGAGTAATTTTTGCTCATTAGCATTTGAGGATATTAAAATCTTCCACATATGGTGAATGAATTCAGTGTCCTGGCCGCAGTCTGCAGTCATATAAACTCAAACAAACAACAAAAACCTCCATGTAAGTATAAACAAGTTTATATTAAATTAGAAACAACTAATCTAAAAATATTAACTTTTAAAAAACATTTTATCATATTTATTAAGAAAAACTTACCAACGCATTAGCTGATGGAACAAATGGAAAACTTTGACTATCCATAATAATGAAATTTAAAATATAACTAACTAATTAACTGAATAGAACTAATAAAAGAATTAAACAAAGATAATAAAACAATAAAACTATATTAAATTAAATAAACAACGCGATTAAATTGTAACAATTCAAATATTATATTTATACAGGGAAAATTTGATGGGTTTAGTATACACTTCCACTATTTAGAATAATTCTTCTTTTTTTCAAAGAAAGAAGTCTGCAATAGTAGTATACTTGAGCTATTAATACTGAGAAGTAGGAATTGTTGTGTTGTAGGTTTCCGACAATGAGTCTGTCCAAATATGCCCTAGCTAAGCGAATAGACAATAAAACTCTTTACACATCCCGAAGTTTGAAAATGTTTAATAGTATTTTCAACTGCTGTAACACTTCTTCTATTTTCGAAGGCAACAATAAATAAATCAATTACTTCGCGTATCGAATGACCCTGAAAGTACCATGTTACAAGTTGCACTTTTTCTTGGACAGTATACGACGTAATAGGTATTTTATTAATTATTTATTTATTCTTTCAGAACTTCGTTTGAAATTTTTAATGTCAATCTGACATTACGACAATTCGTACCTACTATGAAATGAATATAGAGGTGAAAACGTGTAACATGTCACAGCAATTGCGATTGTGTTATATGGTCAATAAAACAATGTCGTGATATGTATGTATAACTCTACTTTTACTAATAATTTCATGTTTACCTCCGATTTTTAACAGTATAAGATTTAGAAATTGACTACTTGATTGATACCTTTATATCGTGCTACACAAAATTGAAGTAAAATTCGACAAGATAACCTACAAAGCAGCATCGACACACTCTTTGCGTTTCATTACACCAGTTTTTATCATAAACTTGTGCACATTCAGTGTGTTTAAACTGTTAGAACTTTGTGTAAACCTCACTAAACACACAACACACACCAAATATTTCTTCAATGCCAAGCAAATAAAAAATTGTTTTGAGAATTCGAGTAAATAAAAAATGGTTTGTGAATCTTTTGCCCAACCAATATCACACAGTTGCCAAATTTAGATGTTTGCATAAATATACAGTGTGTAAAAGCCAAATGGAATAAATTCATTATTTAGGTTACTGTACATATTTATAAAAAAAATCCCGAAACATGTCAAATTTAAATTATAACTTGACATTCTTTAACGTGAAAATGCAACCCCTACATTCAACCCCCTTAGAATGGCAGGTATAGTCGGCACGTGATTTCGTGAGAAAATTTACAGAGGCCAAAGCAAGCAAAATACTAGTAAAATGGCAACGCTGTTAGAGTTACCACTATTTTATTGTAGTACATAGTACTAGAACAGTAGCGTAGATATCTAATTTTAAATTAAATAAAAGTTTTTACTTTTATTTAATTTTATTTACCAAAAAGTTTCATTTTCTATAAAGTTTAAATAAAAAATATCGGTGTTCTTAACTTCTGTGATATATCTTGGGAGTGATAACACTAATCGACTCGACTGAACATAACTTATTGTAAAATAATAATATCTATATAAAACATTGTTAATAATAGTAATTGTCATTCAGCGAGAATGACAGTGACATTTTCAGTTGACAGTTATAATTTAAATTTGACGTGATTCGGGATTTTTTATAAATATGTACAGTAACCTAAATAATGAATTTATTCCATTTGGCTCTTACACTCTTTATACGCAAATATTTATTCATGGGATCCATCCTTACAGTACAATATCCCACTGCACTATCACTACGTTTATAACGTAGTCAATGTTTTTACATATATTTAAAATTAGGAGAATATATTGATATAAGGTTGAATGCTCAAATAAATGAACTTTGATAAAATGAAAGGCAGATTTTATTAATTAAATCTTGCAGAAGTACTTTTGCTTCCTAGATCATCTTTATGAGCATTTTGTCAATTTTGAGCTATCTGACAATCGCAGAATGTCATAAAGTAGTGATGTAACGAATGTCATTTTTTAAACATTCGCGAATGCGAATGCGAATATATGCCACCGACATTCGCGAATGCGAATGCGAATATTCAGTTTTTTTTTAATTTGGCAATTTTAATTGTCTCCGGCACTGCCGGCAGTCTCATTTGCGCTAGGTGTGTAGGCAATTGGAAAAAGTCTGTCATTTTTAACTGCTTTAAATTGTCCAGTATCATTCTATCATATTTGCTAAAGTAAAGATGTGAAACAGTTGTATTTATTGTAAAGAAGTTTATTGTAGGCGGTGTAGTTTATTGAGGGGTCGTTTAAAAAGTGTCATGGTCAGGGGTCGTGTTTATTTATAGTCACGTCCGGGCCAAAAACGTAGAAAGCACGTTTTTCGATCTTATTTTCTCTTGTTATAATCAAATTTGACTTGTTATAGAGAGAAAGTTATAGCAGAGAACTAAGTTCTCTGGTTATAGTTCCAATAAAAATTTCACGGGACACAAGTCACTCCACTTGCCCTGCTCTGCTCGTGCACAAATACAAGTGAAGTTTTTAGTTAAAGTGTGATTAGCGATTTATTACTATGAATAAATCAAATTATAGTGAAATATGGACTTATTTTTCACCACTTTTCGATACTGAACGAGCTAAATGCAAGCTGTGTAATATTCGCAAAACATTCGCACAAATTTTGCGAATGCGAATATGCAAAAATATGCGAGTATTCGCGAATGCGAATGCGAATATTTGTTACATCACTATAAAGGCCAAAGGCCAGACAGTTTAAACTTATTTAAAAAATATGCGAAGCTACATTCTGGCCGGCAACAGGAGAGAGAATCTCTTCAGTTCTAAAATGAAATTTATTATAGAAATTTGATTGTATAGTGGACTTTTTAAAAAAGGCTTTACTTTAAAATCAATATTCAATATATTACAAAAGATTTATTGAAAGTTTTGAAAATTTCCTACTACACTTTGGATATTTTGTACACTTACTTTTAGTCTTTTTTATATATAAATGAATGTATTTTATAATTATTAAAAGAATCTCACAACCTAGATGCTATGTGCATATTTTTCATTTTGGAATCTGACACTACTATTATTAAATCAATAGCACCAGTATTGCTTGAAAAAGGTTAATTAATCCATTTTTTAATTATCAATATTATGAAAATATTGAATCCCTAAATTAAGTAAATGAAAATATGTATACACCTACTTTTTTATCATTTATTAACAACTATTTACAATATTTTCTCAGAATATGGATCACTGTCGGTTTACTTAATCTTAACCTTTTAAAAAGTCTTTATTATTACAAAAGTTAATATGTTCAATTCTGCATCAAATATTATATTCTCGCACTAAGTTTATAAACATTAAACATCATACTGATCATACTCTCCGATTTCATTAAATCTTTTAATATACATGTCTTTAACTTACACTAAACAACCATATTTAGGTTATATCTTTGATTTCGCGATAACCTACAACATAATAACGAACTACAATAAACACAATAAATATTTTTTATGTCAGATAATGTTAATTTACTTTATCTGTCAGTTTATCTGTTCAGATTTTTTCCTAAGTAACGCTAGAATTTTAAATCTAAACTAACATAAAACTTTAAATTATTTTGTATTCAATCGTACCTAAAAAATATTAATAATATTATTGATTACTT